GAGCATTTGCCATGAGAACAAATGACACTGTGGCAAAGAAGAGTCTGCAGAGTTTGCAGATTCAAGTCAGATAAAGCCTGYGTGGCTCAACCTTCCTGACAAAAGAATGTTTCATGTCATCCCATTAGTCCCTTCAAATGTTCTGTCAGTTAAATATGCACACCAAATTAAAGAAAGGCATTTGTTAATTGAGGCTGATAGATAGAGGTGTGGATTCAATCCACTGAAAGGTTTTGTACAGGTGACCTGATCTTCTACTGGATCGTCTCTCTGTGGGTGTAGCTCATGTAGGACATGTTGGTCATGTCCTGCACTGAGCCAGCACAAGGATGTGTACTACCAACATCTAGAAACAAACATCTGGAGCATATGCCTGATACACTGCCAGTATTGCTTAAAATTCATCATAGATGAGTCCAGGTGGAGTTGGTGTAACCATCTCTCTGGTCAGCTCTTTTTGCAAAATACACATTCTTAGAACACTCTTGCATTAAAAAAGAAGTTCTTCATTTATGAAGGGCTAGTGTTGGTGATAACACCAAAATTCAGACTCATTACGTTTTCCTCTGCATGCTGTGTTCCCCCCAAATCAAAAATTCAAAAATCACAAAATTTCAGGCCATAAGAATGAATTTTTAGTTCCTTTAATCAGCAGTTTCTGTCCTTCAGGTTTTTTATGAGTCTCTCTGTAACAGCAGTGGTTTTAACTGTCCTTTAAAACAATCTGTACCACAACCTCTTGAATCCATGATATCTGGTTTCCTGTAAATCTGTGTTTTGTGACTGGATTCTCTGTTGACTAATAAGRTGCATGTTCAAGGTGAAGTTTTTTTCCATGAATATGCCTTTCTAAATATTTTCCTCTTGTTAGATTCCATCTAACAGTATCTAATAATGATTGAGATTAGGTCCAATCTCTCCCCCTGTAAAAGGACTAAGAGGCTCTCCAGCGGCATCCACCTGACRAATATYATTCRCCCTCAGAAGAGCTGCCAAAGACARAAACCATGGACCAGTGCAGCCTCATTTGTTCAGCTTGTCTTTCAGGTGGCTGAAAGTTCATCTGCATGATTAAACAGTCAAGAGMTTTAAAACTGGTGCAAAAGAATGTGTAAATTTCCCTAAAGTAGGTCTTGTGAAAGTGACATTTTCAAATTTGATGTGAACCATTCTGTATTTMTCTCTCTCGAGCCCTACTTTGAATATTTTTTCACAAGCTACTGCATCAAGAAGGGCAAACTTAAATGCAGCTGATATAATTGAGTGAGATAAGGTTTGCAGGATTTTCAATCTTTTTAATCCCACCAGGTTCTTCTCTATTTTGGATTTGAAGTTTCTTACACCATACCCAATTTAGCCTCCGGGGCATGGTTCCCAAAGCATTCCCAATAGAATTATGAAGACCATTCTTCCTCTATATACACAGATTATTATCTTTTCAAGGTACCTCACTGTCCATCTGAATCCAAGGAAGAACTGTCATATAAAGTAGAACCAGTTAAGAAAAAGCTGTGTACCAAAGGGTTGTTACGGGTCCTGCCTTGCTCTGGTGCTGTATGATAAGGACCAGAGTAAATTAAATCTCCTGTGACTCAGCTGCAATCAGAAGAAAATTCATTGCCTAGTCGCTGCTACAGCATATGGATTTGCCTCTCCCTGAGTACACGGATTTGCAGTAAGTATGTAAAGAGTCCCAGTGAGGGGAGTGAGCCTGTTATGTTGCAACAGGCTTGTGGCTGTTTCAGGGGCACCTGAAGCCTCCAGAAGGAAAAGGAGTTAGCTCAGTACAGTGGAAACTTCTGCAAATGGGTCAAAGAGTAGTGCTGTTAAAAGCCAGAAAGCAGGTGCACACAATGTCCTTTTTTAGTGGACAAACAGTGTCAGTAGGCAAACCAGACTGGCTCCACTGCTYATTAATTCTGTATCTCATTCCACCATTTTCTGTTCATTAACTCCCTCCTGCATTTCCCCTCTCTGCTGGAGCGTATTACTCAGACTCAATCATTGTCTCCAAAAGGGAAGGGTGTTGAAAGAAAAGGCCAGACCAARATCCTGCATTCCCCACCTCTCTCAAACTAGCTTTTCTGCTAGAAAGAAACCAAACAAGCATTTTACACTTCCTCAGAAAGATAAATGTAAGTCAGGCTTAAGGAAGRTATGTGCCCTCCAGCCAGGATTTACCTTTGTGCTGCTTATTCTGAAGAAAACTTGTTTTGTTCTGAAAGGACTGTCTTACCCACCTCTAAATCTCACCCATGCTCTAAATCCTTYGGAAAGAAATAAACACAAGAGTCTGGCTTTGTTTTAACTGGCTTTTGTAAGGAGGGCAATTTGTTTCTTCTCACTTTTTCCTAAGTTTTGATATATTTTAARTTGGACTGTTATGCTTGGCTGAGTGTAGTGGCAGCTTGATTAACTGTATGAACACACACACGCAGATAAATTGTATATTTGTTCTCAGAGAATGGCAACAAATGCTTTCCTTTTGATAGGTATCTGTTGGTTTACCAATGGTCCATGTTTCTCAGTGCTGGACTAGTGAAGTGTCATCTCTGGTCCCAGGCCTTGTCCAGCAAAGACAAGAAGCCAGAGAGCCTTCTCTTACGCCAGTGTTCAAAATGGAGTCACGTATAGCAAGTCTCAGCAGAGATGCAGAAGCTCTGTGCAGTGACAGAAGAGTCTGTGGGCTGGAGAGCTCACATGCTTTGGTCATGTCTTCTGGGGTGAAATGGAGCTGCCAGGGAGTGCAGTCTGCAACATGGCTTTTTATCCATTGTATTGATAGGCAGCAGCAGTGGAAATGTTTTCTTAATAATTTAGTTTAACTTATCCCAATCAGTGAGTAGCACAGTGGACTTGTGCTACTTTGTGCCACTGCAAGGGTTGGAACTATGGAGCCATAGTCAGACTCCCTGTTCAAGCCAGCTCTGGTGTGTCCCTKTGACTGCAAACGCAAGGCCAGACTGATGAGCCACACAACCCAGAGTTATTTCACCCACGTGTTCTTAGGCGTACCAGGCTTGGACCTTTCACACAAAGCCCATGGCTTTGGGGTGGTTTGATGAAGTTCTGCCACAAGGCACTGATTCAAATTAAACTCTCCATTAACGGSTCCCATAACATGCCCGTGGCTGTAAACACCTTGGTGTAGGTRCACAACCCTTTCATGTCAGCTTTGCTGGAATGCCCTCAAAGCCATGCACAAGTGATACAAGCAGCAAGGAGTGAAAGGATGTTGTTCACACGTTCAAGCAGTTTCTTAGGAGAAGCAGTGTTCCCAAATCTTTCTTGGCAGTTCACTTCCAGCTTTATTCCAAGTAGCTCCAGCCCAGTTGAGGAGCTATGGGGTGAGCACTGTGGTGACAAACACCCCCAGTATTTTCATTCAGTGCTCACTTCCAAAATGTGCAGGAATGGATGGGGGGGGGGAAGTACCAAAAAAAGCCATCACACATTATTTAGGACAAACGGACTTGATTATGGATCCTGAAGGTGCTGTAAAACTGACGGATTACAGGTTCAGCATTTCTGGGATTTGAGCTGTCTGGCTTCCACTGTGCTTTCATTGTATCAGCTCCCCCTGGTTTCCCTGCTTTTTGCTGGGAGCATTGCACTGGAGCACAAGGGAAGYGAAGCGGGCCCTAACTAGAGCCAACAGCTGCCTTTTGTTGCTGCTGTGGAAACAGCTGTAAGGGGGTAATATGATCGCTCTTCTGGGGCCAGTCAGCTGCATATCATAAGCACCTTTCTCAGATTCAGGGGACYCGGAGGCAGCTCCTGTGGTGATGTAAATGCTAATTGGGCCCACAGCAGGCTATTTTGTGCCCCATTGACATACTAAGCACTTGTTGTGATGTCCCATGAGCATAAAGGTGACTGAAMAGATATTCCTTGCCACTTTTATTACAATCGGGCTCATGTTTCATTCGTGTGCAGAAGAGGTCTTTGCACTGGTTCCTGTAAGTGGAAGGGAATGCTACTGTGAACTGTTTCTCATCTTTTGTGCAGTAAAACTTTTCTGTGTTATCAGCTTAGATTTGGAGAGCTCACATTTGGGGTGCTGGATTTTTTTCCTTTCCTTTTTTACAAATAAGCAAGTTTTGAATGGGTGTTTGAGGTTGTTTTTACAGAAGTCAAGCTTTACCTGGACTCACCAGTTTTGTGGTTTTCTGTCTAAGATTACTGATTTAAAAGCAGATTTGATGGAAAAAATATAAAATAAGTCATAGAAGAGATCATAGGAAGAAAAATTTAACAGTTTTATCATCGCAAGTGACAGATTATAATGGGCAGGGCACTATTTGAGTGTATTTGTAGTGAGACTGGGGGTTCTTCTTAGAAAGCAACACAGCAGTATGTAAATACTGAAAACAGCTGAGYAGCAGAATCAAGAAAGTGGTCTGGGAACAGCATGGCTGAGCTTTAGATGCTGATTTGAATGTGTCCTTGGTCACCACAGTTAGATTACTTGAACTTCGGTTTTCCTCTCTCAAGTAAACTCAMTACCCTTTTTAAGTATTTTGAAGCCCCGCCTTGGACAGGGTTGTAGCCAGTCAGAAACTGCATATACTGAGTCTCCAGCTATCCTTTGCAACTCTTGTGAGATAACATTTTTTTTCTGCTGAGGTGGAGCATTACAGTATTTCCCTGGCCAAATACTGTGTTAGGTGTAGTCAGTCTGTATCAGAATATTGAAGTAGAGATCACAGAAGGTGAGARTTCATTGTTTTGGCACAGGAGAGCCCTGCAGGAGAGCTGTGCCAACTGCAGGTAGGGGTACACTAGGAGGTGGATCAAGGAGATCCATTACCAATCAGACCTGAGAGGAGAGCCATTAAGTATCTGCTCAGAAAAAAAAATCAGGAAATAAATGTGAAAAACAAATTCAGAAGCAAATGACAAAGAAAAAAAAACCATAAAACCCCAGTTGCTACTTGTGTATGTTTCTATACTGGAAGTCTTGAGTTATACTCCATTAACTCTGCATTTTTATTCCACAGGTTCAGGTTCAGCGGTCGTATTCTTGGCCTTGCTCTCATTCATCAGTACCTTCTTGATGCTTTCTTCACAAGGCCGTTCTACAAAGCACTACTAAGGCTGTGAGTATGACCATGCAACTGTGCAGAAACAGTGATCCCACAGAGACACAGACCCTGGGGATTGCACTGATCTTCAAGGTTTTTCTGCTGTTGGTTTGTTGGTCTGTGACAGAAAATGAACACATTGTAATTTTTCTTTGCTTTCTCCGAGAATTTACCATTCATAAATACTATGTTGACAAAAATAAGTAAATATTATATTTAGAAACACACATTAGAAAGTACTGACACATAATTCAGGAGTTTACTAGTGAGGAAAAGTTTTGAAGATTCAACCATGTGGAAGACTCAAAAACATTTTTAATGGAATGAACCAAAATAATAATGAAAGAGGGAGGGAGGTTGTATTAGGAAAAAATACATAATTTGTTATGCCTCAGTGGTGGAGCTTTTAATTCTAAAATACAACTTGGATTAATTAAGAATGTTAATGTAGATATAACCAGTGAACGGGTGGGGAGGGAGGGTTTGTCTTCTCCTGCCTTTTATTTTAGTAAGCGTAAGCTACCAATAATATATTACTTTCAATCTGAAGTTTATAGGGTTAACTTGGATTGACAGTCAGTCCCTCTTTAATCAATAGACTGAAGTAAGACAAGGTACAATAAAAAAAGCTGGAAGTATTAATTCAAGACTACAGTTAAATGTTAAAAAGCAAAATAAAGCTTAGCTGAAATAGGTCACCAATTAAGATGCTTCCAAATCAGCAAAGATACCTGTCTTAACAGTCCTTTAAGTTCTTTATCATAATGGTTTTTGTTGCTTTTTTTTTTTAGCTATTATTATTGCTGGGGTACAAACACTCCTATCTCTATTGTACCTGATCTAGTCTGAAAGGAGGCTGAAACTTAGGGCTCCTCCTACATCCTTATTGCGCCTCTAGAGAGGTTGAAACTAAGCTGYTTATAACATCCACCAGTCCTTGCAGCAGACAAGGATGGCTCCTTATTAGGAGAATTTTAGGCTGCCTGGTCTGTCCTGTGTCAGTCCTTTGTGCTCACCTGGCAGATGAGAGGTAATGGAAGCAGCCAGGCACAGCACGGTGGGGCCGAAGGGACGTCTACACTCTGAAGTGCAGGGCATCCTGAGGAGCCGTGTGAAATCAAGCACCAGGGATGCCTTCTGAGAGCAAATAACACAGGCAGCCAACAGAATTGGCCTTGAGCCCAGCTATGCAAAGCACAAAGTTGCAAAACTGCTTCAAGAGGGTCTGTGAAACAGGCTTTGATGTTAGCAAAACTAAATGAACTTCAGTTTTATGTTGAATCATCAGTACATTTKTTCACACTTCCTAGGAAGTCATCCTGATAGTAATTCCAGGGTCATATCTTTTTTCTCGTCTCGCAATCAGGCCATGTGATTTAAGTGACTTAGAGTACCTGGATGAAGAGTTCCACCAGAGCTTGCAGTGGATGAAAGATAACAAYATCACAGATATCCTGGATCTAACCTTCACGGTGAACGAGGAGGTGTTTGGACAGGTGAGCACAGCTATGCAAAACATCTGAAAAGCAAATTTGAAGCTGACAAAGTTGAGCATGATGAACATCTRTCTGTCAGAACAGATCCTTTAGCCTTTCAATAACACTTTCTTCTCCTACCTTCTGTTTCTTTCAAGCCACCTGTTCCAAGGCAGATGTTTATTCTTAGGGTGTATGATATACAATACCAACCCCGCTACAGGCCTWTTGAGCCACACACTGATGAGCATGAGGAATCCCCTGGAGTGCAGCTCTTCTCTCCAGGGGTGTAGTTCACCCAGATGTGGCATTTGGTGAATGCAAGCAATGTAAATTAAAGCTGATGTGTCTGAAAGGATGGGTTAGGAGGGATAAAAACATTTGACAGGTGCTGTAGGACCTGGCAACCYTCACCATTATTTTGTCTTATATTTCCCTGTTAGATTCTGTGTCTCTTACTTACCTTGCACCTACTTAACAATTTGGTATGTACATCCATTTGCTGTGCTTTCTACAGCGCAGTGCTACCTTGGTTGGATAATTCTCTGTAACCTGGCTGACCTGGGTCTCTGTAGCCTCAAATACAGTGCAACACTGGCTTAAGTGCAGTCTGGCAATCAGAATAAGTGTCTCCTGTGGGATTCTTTGGTTTGCACTGGAGCCCTGGTGCTCTTCACTTTTGCAACCCATGCTAGAGTGTAACTGTCTCTRGAAAGCCTTGAAAGGATTCAAAGCAGTATTTAGACCATGATTAAGGATCTCCAGTGAGATACAGAAAACTAGAGAGGCTGGAGAACCAAGCTCAMCAAGCACTGCAGAAGCTCAAGGGATGGAGATAATTTGTAAGGAACAGACACAGTGTCAAAGGGAGCAGACAGATCAGGTGGAATTTACAGAGAATGGCTCTCAGCACTTGATAATGAAGTTTCCAGTAGGGGTTTGCACAAAGCTAGGGTACTGCTGTGAGCTAGGGAAGAGTTAGACTGGTTTCTGAGGGGAGGAATTCCAGCCCTGAGAGTTAAAGGGCTGCTCAGCTATGAGCTTGAAAGYAATAAAAAACAAGGCTTTAGGGGGTATATTAAAAACTGAATTTAGCCTGCATATASTAAAAGATTACAAAGAATGAACAGACTYAAGGGTATTTGAAAAGGATGGGGTAGATGAATTGAAGTAGGAAGYGTCTGTAGGAACAATAGCACTCTTTCTCCTCAGACAGGAGTTTTTCATGGGCTTGGAACTGAGAGCTTGYGTGACATTGAATTGACAGTACAGTGACTTCCCTGGAAGGTATGGCTGCATAAGACTAATACATGAAGACAGACAGCAATATACAGACATATTCASAAAGGCAGATGAAACAAGTTTGTGTTTACATGGGGAGACTACAAAGCTGAATAAGACCCTCAGCCTCAGTTGCCCTGATGCATCTGAAGGTAACATTTGGCACAATAATTATTATACTCTGCCCAAAGAAAAGAGGAAGACAGTTACATAGGAATCTGTTGTGGAAGATGAGAGATGGCTTCGAAGAGAATAGGAGARAATCACAATCTGTTGTAGATACTGTGATATGAAAGCAAAAGAACACTAAAAGCCAGATTTTGATGCTGGTTCACATGTTGTCTAGTATTTTATTTCCTACATGTGGGACACTAACCTTGCTAGAACTAATGGTGGGGGGAATAATGGTTCTCACTGTAAATTAAAATTGTCAGAATCCAGTAAGTGAGAGTAAGATTTTCCTCCTGAAACTTGCTAGGTGCTGACAGCAAAATAACAAAAAAATTGCAGTCATATTTTATGCTAACAGATGGTTGGAAATTCTTGCATGCCASGAGTATCTGACCACTTAAATGCCATCTGAGTATTGCTTTGCTTGGTACACATGCAAGTGTAGATCACAGTGGCAGCTCTGCTAATATTTGGGAAGCTGGATTTCAAGGGCTGGGTAATGAAAATGAGAAATATACTGACTCTTTGAGAAGCTGTATGGAAGGTGGTTACAGTGCTTTTGTCCTGCTTSTACAATGACTTTGTTATGGACAGTCACTGCTGCTTTCATGCTTTCTTTCTTGTCTCATCTCTGATGTGTATTTAACTTCTTAAGTTTTCAGTCCAAATTCTCTTTCTTGGTACTTTCTTAATTAGAATTTATTCCTGATTAAATCCAGCCTTCTTGCGTACTGGAACCYGGAGCACTCCTGTGACAGCATCAATACAATATCAAATCAAGCATTACAGATTTTTTCCTTGTGGGGACTGAATGACCATTTGAAAATTTCACCTTTAAGACAGAGATGTATCAGTTGCTTGTGACCCAGAGTGCTTTCTCATGCTTTTACCCTACAGACAGTGTTCTTCCAGGCCTTCCTGCAGGCTGTCTATATGGATACAGCCTGTCTCTGGGCCCTGGCCAGGTAAAAGGAATGAGCTAGATTGTTTGAAATGTTTCCTTGCTACTCTGAAACCTTATTCGGAGTTGTAGCTCACAGCTGTGGTTAATGCCTCTAAGAGCAGAAACCCCAAAATAGGGACACATTGTTATTGATTGCTGGCCTCCAATTATAGATAATTAATTGTATTTGAATTTATATGGATAATGAGAAGTTGAAGAAATAATAGTTTTCTAGGTTTCTCCTAGTTGTCACAAAGGAGGAGTATGTGCTTGCTGGATAGAATCCAGATTGATTCCTTAAATCACTTCTCATCTCAAGCCTTAGTAACTCAAACCCATTAAATTTGGCCTAACTAAAYTAAATAACCATTAAAATGCAATGAAGTGCTGCATCTCTTGCTTAAAATAAGGAAAAGTTATTTACATTATAAATACTTCTCAGGTTTGGATGGCTGATACAGAACTCTGAATCCCACAGTGACTATGTGTCATCTGTGCAAGGTTGCTGTACGGGTCTTGTTTTAGGTAGTGCATTGGCAGTATTCATTTTATGATAATTATTTTGACTGGTGGCATTTCTGAGGAAACACTTTTACAATCACTTGGGGAAGAGTAACACTTGTTGCCTAAGAGACAAGTAGATAACCCTTCCAGCTGGCAAAGCAGTCTGCTTGTTCCAGTACTGTGATTTCCTCTCCATCCTGTTGCTTGGATAATCTCACGTTTGAAACACAAGATGATCAATACATTGCTATTCCACTGTTTATCTTTGTTCTGTAGGTGACAGAGAGAGAGTTGAAATCTGGAGGGGCAAATACAGCGGTGACAGAAAAGAACAAAAAAGAGTACATTGAGAGAATGGTTAAGTGGCGAGTGGAACGAGGAGTGGTTCAGCAAACAGAGGCCCTGGTCCGTGGCTTCTACGAAGTAAGTAACAAAGTGATGCTTCCACAGTCATCCCTTCTTCACCTGAATGGGAGTATCTCCCTGGTTAAACTGTGCTTCATTGGTACCCTGGAGAATAGCTAAACAGACACAAACAGCTAGGAACTGGAGTTCTTGGATCTGTAGAAAGAGAGACCTTGGATATGGGATGTTTGGCATTAAGGGACAAAGGAAAGAAATGTTCCTTCTGAATATGATAAAACAGCATGATCAAGAGGACATTGCTTTCTGTTCACACAGTTAGAAAAGAAGGCATTTGTAAATTTGTTCTACCCTGTTGTGATTTGGGGTTAGAATTAAGGGTCCCTGACAAAGGAAGATTATGAAGAATTCTATACTTTAATTAGAAGCTGATGAAACACATTGTATCTTTAGGTATTTATTCCAGTAAAGTCAGTGCTTGAATGCTGTCCAAGTTGTTATTTTGCTGATATTCCTGGATACTGTTCCATTGTTGTCCCTGGATTTTTCAATTTATCTTTGCCGAAGACCTGGATCTGAGAGCTGCTTTCTGACAGAGCTGTTACAAAAACTGGGCAAAAACCTGTGGCTTTCTGCCCAACGCATGTAGTCACCTATTCTCGCCACTCCCTRATCATATGCAAACGTGTGAATGCAAATATTCAAACTTTGTCAGGGTAAAGAGATGGCCACCAGACCCGTAGGTTTATGGGACTTTGCATTTATTTCATTTCCAGTCTGAAGCTGTGCTTAAAAGTGTTTTTGTTCCAGGTTGTAGACTCCAGGCTTGTCTCTGTTTTTGATGCGAGAGAACTGGAGCTAGTTATAGCTGGCACTGCAGAAATAGATCTCAATGACTGGCGGAACAACACAGAATATCGTGGAGGTAAACAGCCTGCTYGTGTTTAGTACTACCTTGACTATTTCAGTCTAAAACATGGAAGTCTTAGTCAACCTTTTCCTTCTGTCTTTCCTAAGAGAAATGTCCTATTTTGTCCAGGAAGTTATTTGAAGAATAACTCCTCAAAAAAAAAAAATCTTGGATTGATCTCATAATCAACAGACATTATGGTGTTATACTACTAGCTTGTTCTATTTTTATCCATATTTTATCCATTCAATTCCTGCAGATTYACCAGGAGTTTTGACTATTAAGGACTGAAAAGGATTTGCAGAATTAGATGTAAAAGTTACAAATCATCTAAGATGACTGTGACTGAACTCCTCGCCTCACAGAAACTAGTTCCACAAGTCCTCCTGGCTTCGGCAGGGAGCTGAAATCAGGAGCTGAATTTCACAGTTCCCAATTATATTTCAACAATATACAGACTTTGCTTTACTGTCCCCTCAGCCTAAACTATGTCAAACTGGATTTTTTTTCCTTTCTCTACCGCTTGGCCTTGGGGTTGCTTTAAACAATGATTTATCCAGGCTGTCTTGGATCACAGAAAAATTTGAAATCCACCAGTTCTGCACCACAAGTGGAAAGTCCCTGAAGTTCACATATCCTCTCCTGAAATAGAAGGTTTCAGTCTTTGCTGGTCACTGCCCAGCCTTTGGGTTAGCTTGAAATAAGCAGCTTACCACAAGCACAGCTGGTCCCCAAAGTTATTCTTCTTTTTTCTGTTTAGCTTTTGAAATACATTCAGCCTGAGTGTATGCTGGCACTCACTAGCACAAACCAAGGCACAGAACCCCTCAGGTGGGAAGCTTGCCAGAGAAGGGCTTGTGGCAGCAAGATCTTCTCCATATGTYGAACACGATTGCAATCCAAAAGAAAATTTATTTGGCAACTAGAAATTGTTAAGTTGTTAAGACTCACACTGTGTGGCATATTGCAGCTGGTCTTTARTGTCTCATGCGTGTAAACCCAGTTCTTGCCAAGAGATCTGTGAGAGACCCAGGTATCTCAAGTATATATTTGAGTTTTAGGGTTTGAAATGAGTTAGCAATATTACAACATCCACAGCCAGGACAAAATGAAAGCTGGGACTGCTCATGAAGAACAAGATAACTTGTTGGGCCAGATTCTTTCCAGTAAGAGATCTACTGCCCCATGCTAATGGGAACAAATGTCTGTGTTGCACTTCCCAGTTAGGAGGGAGTGATTTTAATTTCTCTTTATTGGTGTAGGTTACCATGATGGACACATAGTGATACGGTGGTTCTGGGCAGCTGTGGAGAGGTTTAACAACGAGCAGAGGCTGCGGTTGTTGCARTTTGTCACAGGAACGTCCAGTGTGCCATACGAGGGCTTTGCCGCTCTCCGAGGGAGCAACGGCCTACGGCGCTTCTGTATAGAGAAATGGGGGAAAATAACCTCCCTCCCAAGGTATGTTCCAGCCGGAGTTTTGTACGAGAATTGCTGTGAGAAACATAGTCCTGGTACTTTGTTGCATCTCTCTGCCAGTTAGAGAATGACCACCTAAAAAAAAAACCAAAAAAAAACAATTATCAGTTTGTTCTGTAATTACATTCAGAGAAAACTGTTTTCTTTTGTTGCCTTTTTTGATTTGCAGGCTTAATTTAAGCTAYTTGGAATCCTTGGAAATGGTTAAGGTAAAGATTTCCATAGGGTCCAAACCTAGTTCTCTTATTTTGATTCTAGAACAGATCCAGACCAGCAGGAGCCTGTCAACTAATTCTGTTCCCTTTAATTACAAAGTGCTGGTAAAAATACTTGTGAATTTACAGAGGCATGAAAGCCAAAATCTGTCTCAGAGTTTTGGCTAGGGACCTGAGTGTAATCCCTTAATTTGTTCTGATGGTTCCACTTTTTTGTAATGAAGAAGCTTAGTGATGGAACCTTAGACCATGTGGTGACAGAATCCAATTTGTTACATCTAGCTCTATCAGCCAGCTAGGAGCAAATGAGCTATAGTGTCATACAGAATCAACAGACTTGGCAGTGCTTCCCAAAGGAGGTGTCATCTTCCTTTTCAGATCAAAAGGACAGGGGCACAAAGGGGAGGACTTGCCTCAGGCCACCCAAGAGAGCCATGGCACAGCCAGTGATGGATCAGCTTTGTGTTCGCCTTAACCACTTCATGGGTGACCAGCACTCATCCTTCCTYACTGAAGAGAGTCACCTTTTCTTGATTGTCCTGACAGTGGCCTGAGGCTCTGCCCCATTGGAATTACAAAACATTGCAGTGCTTCTGAGATACTTTTGCTACAGTAGCCCTTTTTCATCACATCTCCTAAGGATGCTTTCTTCTTGCTCTTATCATTTGCTTTGAGCTACACTCCAAAGGAGGCCACTTTTATGGCACAGAGCAACAATTTTATCTCATAGGTCTCATAAATGTAGTCAGACAATCAATTAATGAAGGGTCTGGTCCAGTTTTCTCATTACTTGCTCTCCATGTTGTTYACCCAGAAACATACTGTAAGACATGGATTTGAGTGAACCTCTGGAGTTCTCTGGAGAGAGAGAGAGTCCAAATCTGGTCATCCTCTCTGTCCAAGCCTGCTCAAGCCCATGTTTGGCAGTGGGAAGATAAAGAAACTGGAGCCAGGGCACTGTGTCAGAAGGCATTSAGAGCTGACATCTTACATGGACTCTCTCTGAAGTCAGGAAGTGGGAGTGTTGTTAAGGAATCTCACCTGAACACGGACTTTTGAAATAGTTCAGCCGAGTCACAGCTGATACATTTGGATTTATGTCCATCTACCATAAAGACTGTACAGAGATTATACGGAGAGCCAGAACCTACATTAAGCTAGATGTGGGCACTGAGATTTAAAACCAGGTGAAAACATGTAAGGTCAGTGAGGTGACTCATGCCCTCTGAGCTTCAGCCAGCAATGTAGTGAGAAAGCCTGAGAGCAACAGTTTGCTATTTGTAGTCCAGATCCTCCTTTTGCRTTATATTTATATACATAGTCAGGTTCCATGTTAGGGTTTCACAGCTTACCGAGGGCATTCCAGTCAACTACCAGCAGTCAACCAGAGCTCTCTTTGCACTCCTTCGGGGCTGGAAAGAGGCGAAAGGGGAGGGTGGACCTTGGTGCACACACAGAAAATGCCCTGGGCTGACCCGTCAAGTTCTGAAAAGGTAATTGGCCTCTTTCTGCTCTGCTTAACTTTCTTTGTGAACCTAGACATTACTTCTGACCCAGATTCAGTTAGCCCCGAGATATTCACRTTAAGGGTTTTATGCTTGTCTGCTGATCACCAAATGAGCTGCTCTCCCTGAAAGATACCTCCTTTCTAGGTGAAAGTTGGTAGCACCTTTTAGAAGTCTTAGAGCTCTACATTTGTTTTAGCCAGGGGAAAAAGAAACAACACTTGCTTATGGGGAATAAACGCAGTTTGATCACTGTGAATTGTTGCCTGCACTTTTATGAAATTATGGGGTGCTGCCAAGTATACACAGTGCTAAGAAATGCATAAAACACACAAGCTAAACCTGGAGGTTCTCTAAATCCTTAGTTAAGCAACTAAATGAGTATTATTTAAAACTTGGGTTTGAAATACCTGATTGTGGTTTTCCCATGTTTATTTAGATTTATTTACGTACTTAAGATTTACAGGGTAAAAAAAAAAAAGTCATAGGTCATATCCTTTTAGCCCTGTTGGCCTTTTAGCCCCTGTGACATGAGTGTAACTAACTTTAGCTGTTTACACTAAACCACAACAAATTTCCTTTTTACTCTTACTGCTGTACAAAGTGTTGAGAACTTTTAGCTCTATCAGGAGAGTCCATGACTCTTTCTCTATTCCCTTACTTCTGCTCCAGATGGCTGAAGTAGTTAGGCAAATCTTTACATCCTGCCCTTGCACTTTGGCAATGGACCATGCAACTACCATTTGCTTATAGTGAAAAAAGATGTGCTAACACCTAAACTAGATAATTTAGTTCTGTTTGCACTTGCAACAGCAAGACAGGCCCAGAAAAGAACCATGGTGTAAATTTCTAAAAGTAAACACTTTTCAAAGAATAACCACTAATAACACAGTGCTTTTTGAAAGCACTAAGGAGAAGGMAGATTTTTCAGGAAGGTTGAATGTCTAGTAACTTTATTCTAAATTGGTGGATTTGGATTTTCATTAGTACCAGTTCCCTGCACAAACAGGGTAGTTGTGCTGTAATATGTAATTGTGCTGTAATATGCTAAGACAAAGAAGAGTAAGATTATATCTTACTCAAAGAAGAGTAAGATCATTTTATTTTTGGAGTGTGCACCCTTGCCWGACATGTTATTCCTATCTATATTTACTTTTGAGATAACACACATTAGAAAGTTGAGGCACCATACAGCTCAGGGATGCTGCTCTAATCCCAGATCTCCAGATGATGACCCTAAAGCAGGTTCCAAGGAGACTGCCAGCTTTGCAGTTCTGTCAGTGTAAATCTGCATCATGGCTTCTTCCAAACTGGTGTAGTCAGTTTATCATTTAAAATAAGAGGTTCAATCACATGTTCTTTAGGTTGAAGTTTTACTCTCCCTATCTAATACACAAAGCTTTGTCCCAAAATTAAGTGTTACACATTTAAATGGTTGCCTGAGTAGAGATGGTTGGAGAATTCTTGCAGCTATAGCCTCTTCTAAAGCAGGAAACCTCTCTTCACTTCTTCTAAGTTGTGCAAGTCTTTTAATCAGTTTTAGTAGTAGTTCGCAAGAATGGATTCTTGTTCCCTGCCAAACATTAATGAAAAGCCACTGTTTTTCTAGTTGGAATAACACAGCTTCATCTGATATCATGGAAGCAGAACTCCTGGCCCAAACCAGACCGGTGCTAAGAGGTAGCAGTGCTTTCTGCTATAGCTATAAGGGCCAACAGTTCAGTCTTTCTAAATCCTCAGCTGGAAAAAGTGTTTGTTTGATACCTACAAATGCCACTGTCCCACCTTCTGGTTGCCCCACTCACCTGGCAAAACCTCCTGCCAGCTCTAAGAATATCTCTGTTTGAGTATCAAGTAAATGAGAACCTCAGTACATATCCCAGGGATTTCAAATAATCACATTTGATGCAATGAGATCTCTTTTCCCAACAGTGCTGAACTGCAACTACCCTTTCATCAGAAGAGATTTTCATTCAGCACTACAGTGTGTGTTATGTGTGATACAGATTACCAGTGYTAGTAAATACCTGATCTTTTGTAAGAGAATTCTGTCCCTCTCTATTGGRTGATTAAGTATTTAATCACCACAGAATTCTATATCATAATTTTTAAAAGATTATATATGTGACGACAAAGAAATTTATTCTCATAATTTCCTTCTTTCCCAATGGACTGAGTGCATGGGCTTTGCTGTCTCTTACCTTTCCCTATATCCCATCCCTCTTCTCTTTCTTCTTTTTTCAAATACTACAGCAATGTCATCCACAAATCTACATTCATCTATTAAACACTGATTCCCAGGCAGCATGTAAGTGTTCCTTCTTACAAGCAAAAGGAACAAAAGCCATTACCTATGGGTTCTCAGATTAATAAAGASAAGCTTGTGGGTTCATTTAAAGAAAGCAAGGTGAAAAGGAGAACTGCCCAGTTTCTGCGTGACAGGCATATTTGTGTTAGAATGCAAGTCTTATTTTAGWAGATAAGTTCAAGCTATAATTAAGATAGGAGGGAGTTCTGTGCCCACTTTTACTGCCTTTGGACTCTCATCTTTATGGGGAATCAAGAAAGTGACAAAGAGGAATGCAAAAATCTTAAGACTTTATACTCATAATTTTTACAAAGAATTCTAAGAAAAGAAATAGCATAGCACTGTGAACAGTGCGCAAGATTAAAGGTTAAAGCCCACCAAAACTATATTAAGCATTAAAGATAGACTGCCAGGAAGAATGAAATTTTAAGTGTCCATTTACTGCTTAACTTACTGGAGGMTAAGGGCATACAAGGGTCAGAGTTGGTTTATACAACTTTATCTTGCATTTTCTTCTGGAGAAGCCAGAATCCTTCCTATAAAAGCTGTTACCAATCTAATTCTTATTCCAGGCCTCTCATTCCCCAAACACCSTCTCAAATGTCAGCAGGTTTATGTGGTAGGAGGCTTAAATCAAGGGAAGAAATACTTTCTCATTGTTGTGACTACTTCTTGCACTACTCATGTAATGTTTTCACCCCAAAATGTGCAGCAAGTGTCCCCTGATTATGCTTACTGTTGTCACTCTCAGTGGCATCAGTAGTTAGGAGGCCAACACGGTTCCGAAAGAATTTACCTGTTTGGAGGATGGAGCACAGTTGGAATGCGGTGGATATTATGGGAAGTATCACTGACTCTTAATTGCCCTGTGTACTGTAGTATGACACAACATATGATGTAAACCAGACTGCATAAATATTTTTATGTAGGGTTGCGTGGGCTTCACAGTCATCATTGGAGTTGCGGTAGATCCACATTAGTTTCACAAACCAGAATTGGGTTTTGCCCTTAGCAGTATATTGTGRTTTGCAGAATAACTAGGTAGAAGGGTAAACCTAACCTGCATAATGCTCCTTAAATGCTKTTTTCATTTCAAATTTGTTGACCTATTTTTGGAGTGTGAGAATTTTTTTTCTGTGAAATTGTTGAACATGAGAGTGTTGCTTGGCAAAAAGTTTTAGTGTTTCTAGGCACATTAACTTTTTTTTTCTTTCTTTACTCGCCACAATAAAATTCCTTGAGACCCTCTATAGAAAGCCCGCATCTGTAAACCTCATAGTAAGAAAAGGAATTGGTCTCTTTTTTGAGTTTTACTAGGTCAAGGATGACTAAAAGTCAAGAGCATTGCAAGGTTGTTTCCTAATCAGTGTGAAATCAGATGGATAATGATCAGTCAAGATGAATGTTTACAAGACAGTAAACACCAGAGTCAGYGGCTGTGGATGCTTCTGCACCACAYGATAGGATGCACAACAGCAATGCCATTGTCTCAAATAGTTCAGTGTGCCATGGTTAAGTACCATACAGAGGTCTGGTTCTGCAAAACTACATTAGCAGAATCCACACMTGAGCCACCATGGCTGTGCTGCTTCCAGTTCTGGAGCCAGGCACCTGAGCTCCTTAAGACCATGTGTGTCTGCATAGAGGTGTCTTGCCTGTGATAAACATGTTCTGAATGGACTACAAGAATCCTTCTGTTAATTAACTCCCAGTGGTTGATATGTACTGGCAGTGGATTGTAGAAACAACTTACATTGCCAAAGATTGCTGAGATAAACAATAAACWGTGCAGGACTACTCATGGATAATACACATGAGCTGCCATGTTTCATTTCAAAAGGTGAATTCAATAATGGCTTTATTAATGTTCCTTTTTCACTAACTCARTTGTTTCCAGCTCATTTCCACAAATTCTGTGTTTATTGCATTCTCTCTGAGACTGACCAGCTAACAAATCTTCATTCAGAAGGGGAAAAAGGATGGTAAAAGCTCCCCTAATTGAAATTCCATGATGCAGTGAAGATTATATGCCTCTGGCTATTTCAGTTGCTTGATTGCTTTTGATGATTTGCCATTGGTGCTTGATAAAACTCTCTCTCTGAATCTACAAGTCTCAGGCCAGCCTATCTACTAGCATTATGTCTTTCCTACTTTGTGGGTGGCCTAAGAGAGGACTAGTATGGTTTCATGTAGTTTTCTCCAAGATAGGTATGCTGCTTCAGTTTAACAGAAATAGCATTGAGTTAAAGTATGAAATAGAAGACCTAGAAGTAAAACAACTCCATGGCTTCAAAAAATACTGGGGACCAGAAGCTTAGACATTGTTAGCCAATGAGGCTACATTTCTTCTGTATGGTTTTGTCAGTTCAYGTTTATCAGAGTGAGCAAGAGGAAATAGAAATATTGCTAGCATCAAGCAAAACTCAAAGCTGACTGAAAAAAGCTGAAACAATTTTATTGAAAATGTGCCACTCCCACATCTGTTTATTGAATGAACTGTGTAGTTTCTCAGCCTGTTGAAATGGCTGAACTGTTGGAGCAGGGGCTGTTTCTTTACTCTGCATTTGTATAGCACCTCACACAGTGAAGTGCAGTTTGCCTCTGGATTTAATTGCTGCTGCCAGAAAAGCTGCAACAGGATGAAGGCATGCATGGAACCCATTCCATGGCTTCTTTTGAAGGTGCTGCCCATGTAAATATAGTGGTGGATAAATATAATGGTAAAACTGGGGGAACAGATGGTCATCAAGTTTGCAGCTTGCTCYGCACAGAATATTTTGCTTTTGTCTTGGGTACTACAAATAAATAACATTTAAAGGCCAGACTTGCAGCAGATGGCCAACAGCTGACTTGCAGGAACATTTTCAGCACCCTTCCGTCCTCAGTTAGCAGATCTCTGAATTATCTTTTAGCAGTCAGRCCTGCCTCACTGCAAACACATGCTGAGCCCATTCTGCCACTATAGTCCATCCCATTGTGTTTGTCCACTGGCGAAAGACTTACTGGCATTTCATGTTGGATGTACAGACGAGTGCCATTTAAAAAAAAAAATTCTTAGCAACCAAAATTATAGTAGTGAACTTTTCTATCAGGCCCTATACCCAAGCTCCTTGGTGACMTCCAGCATTCTTCTCCATCAATATCCATACAAAATCCCTGCAACACCTGACACAGGGATATCGGATGTTATATTGATGCTACTTCTTCTCTATGAAGTATTCATGTGTATGTTCACATACATTTAGTACCTCAAATTTTGGTGGAATTTAAGAGTTTTTCTTTGAGTGAACTTGAATGTCTTGAGTCTCAGTGGGAACTAGTTTTTTCAATTCTTATTTTCTCAAGTATTTTAGATTAAGCTTAACATGTAGCATATTTTCCTTTTTCAGGGCACACACGTGTTTCAACCGTTTGGATCTTCCACCTTACCCCTCATATTCTATGCTGTATGAAAAGCTGCTGACAGCTGTTGAAGAAACTAGCACCTTCGGACTTGAATGAGGGAATTCAGRCACTTCTGGTGTTTTTATGGCTGATGTCACCTTTCCTGTCCACCATCATTTGATCTTGGTTTCCCATGTTTTTATTTTTGAAAACAAAACAAAAATCAAGATTAACAAAAGCTGTGCATGAAGAACTGCCGCCCTCTACAATCTAACCTTCATGCTTTCATCCTCTATTTCCAATGGACTGCTAGTCTGTATGCAATAGAAAAACAACTGTCTCAAGGTTTCTGTATATCTCTACATACCTCCATTAATAAAAATGAAAATACAAATGCAAGTTACACTACACTTGACCAAATGTTGATAAATATTTACTTCCATCTACGTTGATTAAAAAATTAAAAAAACCTCATCAAGCATCCCAAGCTTTTATATACCCGTATCTTCTAAATTAATTCACAGCCCATCTTACTTCTTAATCGTTGAATCCAGTACTAGGAGCTGGTCAAATGTATCATCATCCATCCTTATTTTCTCTGTATGTATTGTCCATCTGAGAGACGCCTATGAGCAAAACTGAAATTTTTATATATGAACTCATGATCCACATCAGTTGCATCAGCTGGAACTGGCCCAGATACATGGTGCAGATAAGACCTTCAACAACTAAAAAAGAACCAACCTGTAATGCAATGCAAAGCATAATGGCGATTGTTATGATTGTTGCTTGCCAGTACTGGAGAGAACTTGCACTTCAGAGCTGTTGGGAGGGGCATCTCCATTGTAATGTTTACCACACAAGAAGCACAAGGTTGTGCAYACTCAAGAAGGATGTTTTATTATGTAGCATAAAGGACAAGGTTCCCTAATGTTCTACTCTTATGAAGACCGTTGAGTTCTGTTTGCCAGATYTTTGTTTTCTGATGTTTAAAATGTCCCTTTCCAAATGACAAGTCTAGACAATCCCATCCCCTGTGTCAGAGGCCATTTCTTTTCTGTTGGGTTGGGCTAATCTATGGTTGCTGGGGGCGGTTTTCAGTTCTGTCATTTCTCTTTTTTTTGTTCAGTGGAATAGTCCATATCCACAAGAGGGGCTGGTTGTAGACAGAATGTCTTTGTCTGGAGTCTGTCAAATGAGAAGCTGCAGTGAATGAGGGTATTTGTCAGGGAACTAACTCTTTGCGGGTTAGGATTTTGCTGCACATCCTCTTGGAGGAAGCCCAAAGGCCCTCCAGTCATACTAGGTATCACTAAACTAAAGATCTTGCTCTTGTTACAGCAGACACAACCCTCTTCAGTTTGGTGTACTTTCCAACTCTGAATCCAGGGCAAAAACAAGGAAAACAGACAGCAGTAGGCGTGTCTCGGATGGATTTTTCTGAGGCTGTTGCAGTCAAGTTATTGTAGTTATTAATCTTTGCTGCCCTTGTTTTCCAAGACTAATCTCAGATTGAAAGTGTTTGTCTTAACTGGGAAAAGGAAATACAAAATATCTTCTGACACTAAATATGTTAAAGGATCCAAGAAATGCAAAGTGAGAGATTTGTCAAGGTAAGTGAGAACTTCATAGTGTCTGACAGCTCACATTAAATACAACACCCTTGGGGGCTTGATATTGGTAGTTTTGTGTTAGTTATGCTTCAGAAGATGGTAAAATCAGGAGACCAGTTCAAGATCTAACACATCTAATTCATCTTAAGTTTTGTCTCCAGAGGAAAAAGTTGGACTCTGCTTTCTCATGTATTTTTATGGTGGTTGTACAGAACCTCATCACACTTGAAAAACTGCATTCTGGGAATTCTAGATCATTCTCCTGCTTTTATTCTTWGGTCAGTAGGTATTTGAAAGGTGATGGACCCAAAAATATTTTTTTGGCAATTTTTTTTTTGTTAATGATACATTAAAAAAATKAAATACTTAAATTGCCCCATTTATTCAATTTCTGTGACATTTCAGCCAATTTTATAATTATTTACTATGTGGCTTKTACTGAGAATGTATTTTATAGTATGTTGTTGTTACTGAGTAATCATATTACGGTTGCAAACAGGAACTGTAGCTAAAGGCCAGCTTCATTGTACCACACTCCGAAAATGTTTAGTGTTTCCATAAATGAGTTCTCAGGCATCTATTCCACATGACCAGCCCCACTGCACAGGAGAGATGGAAAATTTAATGTTTTTCTCAGAGAATCTGTCATCTGTCTCAGAGAATCATGTCATCTGAACATGAAATCTTCCAATGTATGTAATTCCCCTTCACCTCTGGGCCCCCTAATGCAGTGATTCTTGTATAGYTCTTAATTTGTTCCTGGTGATGTTATAAAGTTACCTGTACTATTCCAAATGTGGGATGTCTTCCAACATTAGAAGAAAAGAAAGAGAAGCATCCAACTGGTTGGTCCATCTTTGGCAAATCAAGAGCTGTCTCATTAACATAGTAAAAAAGTGAAAAAAATAATCCAATCTTTACAATGCTGTATAGGGTTTTTTAAAAAAATACTTTAAAACTATTTTTATTACAAAAAGGTGAAAATATTTTTTGTAGCATAATAAAAGATGTTTGTATTTCAGAGACATCAAGCTCCACCAAATGAAACACAGAAGGCTTTTTCCTGAAATTCATCTTCACAACATTTTCTGGCACTCGTCACACACTGAACTAGATTATGTTTGGCAGATGCCATCTCAAGCACCTTGTGTGTTCCTCCTCTGAGGAACACAGAGCATAGCCAGCTACTTCCCATCAATATCCTTGATCCAAGTTGTCTTTCAAGCACACAGCCTAATATTTTTTTAAAATTTAGTTTCTCAGTTGAYGAAGTCATGCAGATTTCCTTGGAAATTTTTTTGATATAAGGCCAGGAATAGAGACAGTTGACTGTTGTCATAAAACAAAGAGAAAGAAAATGCATTATGTGGCTTTGCTTGCATTCTGCAATTCAAATCCTATCCCTCTCTCTTCCCAAATGCCCTAYCATAGGTTTTCAAACTTGTCATATCATCTCTAGGATACCCAGATCAAYACTTCACAGTGTTTCTCCATTCCTCATCGTGGGCAGAATCCAGCCTGGAGTGAAGGGGGAGCTGTGCATSCAGTGGCATTGCAGTGTCAGAGTGAGGCAGTGAATGGTGCTAACAGGAGAAAGGGAAGAACCTGCCTCCCTTGACCTCTTATTTAATTAACTAATTATGCAATTAATTGACTTTGTTGTTGTTGTGTGTGTTCAAGATGTTGTGCATATGCAAGAACCCTTCTTTGTTCATCTTTTGATTCAAGTGCTTTTATTCCAGGTCTGCATCTTCATTTGTAAAACACTGACAGTTGATTACAGAAATTCTAGTTTCATTGTCTCCCCACAGCAAAGGGGAGATTTCCCCTTAGGGCAGATTTACAGTGAAATAATCTCTTCMGCTCTTTCACCTCAGTTTCCTTTAAACCTGGTAGTAGATATGGTGGTGGCTAGATTAGGATACAGTATCAACATCAATAGATTTTTTTTTAATGCAAGTGAAAAATGGAAGAGGCAATCTGACAGCTTTCGTTAATTCTAGTTTTCAGTCGGAGCAATGAATACTGGCAATGGTTTCAGAGTGTCCCTATGTTTCTCAAAATGATTGTCATGGTGGTATTAATGGTAGAGGGAGGGAAGTGGGTTCTCCTGTTTTTTAAATCCTTTAYCCTATTAGCATTAATCTGAAGATAAGAGAATGGAAATACGTATTTTAAATCATCAGTAGGTCTTCCACCTTGAAGTAGTCTCATTGACTGTTCAACCACATCAGATATGCAGGATTTGATCCAGTATGAACATCTGTATCTTAATGTTAACAGCTTCAGTAAGTAAGCCTTACAAATGCTGTCACTTCAGTTTGCAATCTGTTACATGAGCATTCMGTTTCAGTCTGTGCATGTTCAAAACTTGACTTTTATGTTCCAGAGAGATGCATGGCTGTCACAAGGCAAGAAGTGCATTGTCCAAACTACATCTATTATCTAATGGAGAATTCATGAGTTTTCTACAGGTCTGACACAGGACTTTTTACACGCAGTCTGCTCAAGTGCCCATGAACTTTTGAAAGAACTATAACTGAGGTTTGAGTTCATAGTCTAGTCTCAGAGATGGTCAGTGGGAAGGGGAGTGTTTGTTGCGATTGTGTTTTGTTGTTCTWGTTTCACTGTAACACATAGTTGACATACCTCTAGCTGGAAACAATATGAMACTGAATTTGAACAGGAAAATCGAAACTGAAATAAGCTAAAATATAAACGCACAGGGGATGAGTTCAACTCATCCTTCACTATTAATCCTTTGAGAATCTATGGAATTTCAGAAGGACAAGTTTCACTGGAGRATTGTTTAATTTCTGTTGAAATTATATTTGCCCTGATTCCATAGTAATATTAATAGGGCTTCCCAGTCAAGATTAAACACTTTCAGTCAAATGCAGACCAAGAGATCTTTCTACAACAAATGCGGTGCTTTTTTATTATTCTTGTTGTACCTCAATGTTCRCTATTAAAAGATAAAACTACTGCAATATACTAAATCTGGATAGGTTTTCCAGTTATCACAAGGTCCAAAAGATTGGATTGTTACTTTCTCACTAGTGAGTCATGTAGTTCTTTTGTTCCAGTAGAAAAACAGATGCCTGTAGATAGTAGATACTAGGTATAGTAAGTATTGTACCATTAGCCAAATTCCCTGCAGCTTCCGATTTATCTAACGGAAATGTCTGTTACAGTTTTTGTTAAAGACTACRTAAAGTCAGTGGCAGGAAAGGTCCTCATTATTGGACTGATTTTGCTGATATTGACAGAAAAATGTCACATGATACTCAGGCTGTGCTTTCTATTCAACCATATCACTATAGAGGAATGTCAATAAAATCACTTTGTTATGGCATTGTGTGGACTGTCTATTACAAATAAATTATTTCATAGAGGATGTATGTTAGARTGAGTGGAAACTGGCATTTTCAAGGTCCACTAGTTTCAAAAATCACACTTCCAGGATTGTGTCCTTTCCAACCATTGTGTTCAGGCCCCTCCACTGCTTTTATTCAATTTTTTGGGGTACATGTCTAAAATTTGAGGTTCTCTGCATAGGTATGCATGATCAGAGCCCCCAAGCTCTCCTGGACCAGCCCTGCCCTGAGAGCATGTGAGCTTATTCCTCACTATACCAAATGTCTGGTCAAACAGAAGGACAAAATCAGTATGTATGCTACTTATGCATACCTTGCTTCTAGGTATAATTACTGCATTATAGAGATGAAATGCAACTGCAAAGGTGATTTCTTAATAGCATATGCTGGATCTGCACTGTGTTGACAGCAAATACATAACAAGGTGCTCTGGCATCTCAGTATGTCACACCCATTTCTCTCCTGCTTGTCACTGTAATATCTCCAACATGTTTCATTAACACATTCCAGGATAGATTAACACGCCTCATACCGTCAGCAGACACCTTCCTGACCATACCTGTTTTCTTACATAAATGGCACCCCGTGAGACATCATAGTACAATGGGAAAGATGGGAAAGCTTAAATATGAGGCACTGTTTTTATAAGGACAAATATAAATCCATGAAAGAAGTGGTGAACATATCTTGCAGAAGACAAATCAGTAACAAATGTGAAACTGTGTGAGTGTGAGAACTCTTGAGARCCCCTCTGGAGCTGGCTGCATTTCCTCCCATGTGGAGGAGCACAGGTCATGAGCCCCTGCGCTGACTCTTCTGCAGCAGAGATGGCAGKGCTGGTGGCAAGAGTAGCATCTACCTATGCACATGCTCAAGAAATCCAGATGTCACAGCACAGCCTTTATTCATATCCTGTTTGTGTRATTGTGCTTGTGTGTGAGGAAGAAGTGAGGGAGAAGGCATTTTGGCACCAAGTTCGATTTCTCTGAATTGTTCACATRTAAGGGAAGGGAAAATCTATATTGACTAAAAAGCAGTGAGATGAGCTGCTGATCATTAGGGTGCATCAGAGGTGTCAGTTTCTGCAGCAGTGATTTGTGTATGATCTGCAAGTGGCTGGAACTATGCCTTTTACCAGAACCCATTCATTGATTCCACTCAAATTTTATGAACTCATGGATTCTATGAACTCATTCAAAGCCAAGATGGATACGGTCCTGAGCAACTTACTCTAGTGGGAGATTGGGACCRGTTGGTCTTTAAGGTCCATTYYAACCCCTTAACCTTCTATGATTTCTTGACAATTACTGAATTTCTGRTGAAGTAGAGCAGCAGTCCACATGAAGCCTCATGGGCACATTAGGTGTCTTTCTTGGCATGCCAACAAAATTTCATAATTCTGTAGGATATTATAAATCAATAATAATCTCTTCCTGCTGCCTTGTGATAGTAGTGTCATAGTTTTTTTTTGTTTTTTTTTTTTGGTTTTTTTTTTTTTTTTTTTATAAATCAATAATAATATGTTCCTGCTGCCTTGTAATAGTAGTGTCATAGGTTTTTTTTGTACAAAGGACAATAAATCCACATGCAGCCTTATGTTCATCCTTGTACAAGAGGCCAGACTGGATAATAGCTGTCAAGTCTGGAGAAGAAAGGTGCAAAGGATCTGCTGTGTCTTTTCTAATCACAAATCCTTCTTGAGCTGCAAAGACACACCCTTTTACTATTTTTTAATTTAATTCTGGTGAACTTGAAAATAATTTTTTGACTGAAAATACCTTTCATGACTCTATCAAGATAAAGAATGTGTGGCTGTGTTTAGTTCCTACTGTCTTGAAACTGAATTTAGAAGAAAAAAAAACCCCAATATATTATTCTATCTGAAATACAAGCCTTAATTCTTATGTATTAGGCTTTGATTTAAAGTAAAGCAGATTTGTATTGTTTTAACTGTAGTGTAAATGAAGCTCATCCCCACAATGCCATGTTACAGCTCTTTGAGGTGGAATAGAGTAGAAGTCACTGGATTGCACAAAGAGTGCAAATAACGGGGGTTTTTCCCCTGAACTTCTGGTATGTAGGATTTCATATATTAACTGCTATGGTACAAGAAAATAGTGAAGCTGCATGGGRCAGTTTTCTGTGCCAATGGTAAGCAATACTAACGCTGAGGTCACTTGCCTTTCCTTTTGTGAACAGTAATACACTTCAGGGACATTTTACTTTTTTTAATTTTTTCAGTATGAAAAGACTGGTTTGGGTTATCCTTGCTCCCCATGTACAAAATAAACCAGTCGTAAGGAAAAAGTAATCCTGTAAATATTCTGTGGTATGACACTGAAAATGTGTCCAGTCAGTTTCAAAATGAACCACAGACAGYAACTGAAAAAGTGTTGGATGTGATTTTCTGATGCTGCTTTTCCAAGATCAAAACAGCATGCAAAAATAAACTGCATATGCTCCAATGTTTCTGTTTTCAGCACTTCATATGCTTCAATCTGTAGAAAAAACAGTACAGAGTCCTAAAGAGCATGCCACAGGGAGTCATCATGTTCAGGTAACTGCTTTTCAGGAATGCAGGTGGGGCAGCACTGGAATCTTCTTAGGAACTTTGTTACAAGCTGTGGTTTGACTTCAGTACCTCTTAGGTATGTCTTGGTACTGAATGCAATCAATGACTTTTTAAGAATGACTGAAATTTAAAATAGAGATTGCTATATAAGATTATATAGCTTATATACACACACTTAGAGTGTGTGAGGATATGTTTACTGACAGCTTTGGCATCTTTGGCAATGGAATATAAGCTTCCCTGCTTTAGGCATGTAAATTAACAGCACTACTGATCTGAGCATTGATTAGCAGAACTGGGACCTTAGAATTTAAACCTTGCTTCTATAATATGTAATGCCCATGACATGACTTTTGAACACCATCATTTGGGCTTCTGCTATGTTCTTTAGTCCTCCAAATATACAAGCCAGAACAGTTTATGCTCTGAACACAGCCATACAATAAATACTGATGCATCTCGGCTCTTGTAAAATACAGTCTACCTAGTTTGTAAAAGGTGAATTAGTGTTTGGGACTGCCTGGGCATGGCAGAGAAGATGTGRCACTGATCTGAGGATCATCCAATGTAGTGGGCACCCATATGATGTGTTTTTCAACTGGTAAATTAATATTATAATAATATATGTAAAAYTCATATTCAAATGAGAATTTCTGCAAAATAGGAACCTGTGAGGGTATTTGAACAGGTTACTCATAGATTCCCTAGGCACAGGTTTATTCATCTGTCTTGGAAATTATGAAATCAAACCCTGTAAGTAAAAAAGAGGAATAAATCTTATTGTAAATAATATATAAAAAAATATAAAAATATAAAAATAATTCGACAGATCTGGCAGTTATGATGCACGACACTTAGTGAAGTTGTGCCTTCCTCCCTTAAACTAGAAAAGAGATTATAATTACAATTATAAGAGATTATAATTATAATTATAATTACTTTCTTTTGTTGCAGCTGGTAAGAAATGTCTATTTGTGCAAAAGTATAGGAGGGAACAGTTTTTCAGTGGTGCTGGGTACTCAGTGTTCTTGTGCAAGTGCTTTTACATGATGACGAGAGGCATTTCAGGAGTAGGGGAGCAAAACCCCACAAGTGAGGAATGTGTACTCTTTCTGTTGCCTCCTAGATAAAACCACCACATCAAGGAATAAGTAGCTTCAATGCAAAATAACTAACTTCAAAATGGAACTTCTGTAGCCTGCAGWAATTCCAGCCACAGAAGATCATGATTCGCTACAATTACAGAAGTTGAAACGATGAATTTAGCACCAGAAAAACAATCTTAAATTAGATGTGCTGAGCTACATACAGATTGTAAAATTTCGTATTTCTGTTACAAATGGCCCATGATGATGATGATTATTTCAGGTATCTCCTCTATCATTTTCAAGCTGTCTGAATACATTTGTATTGGGGAGAGAAATATCTTGTGATGATCAAGCCAGAGTAAGATTGATATAACAGAACAAAGCTTATGTCACTATGCAACAATTTTGATCCACCTYTTCAGGGCAGAAGAGAAATCACTYTTTGACTCCAATGCATTCAGAGATAAATTTAAGGGGACATAGCTTTTTAACAAAATACCTCTGGTGATGTCTTTCACCTCACCTCTTGCTTCTTAGCTTGCAGGCCAAACACAGAGAATGAATTCCCTGGATGCTATTGCCAGAAAGAAAAACATATATATTGAAGTATAGAAYAATTAATGTTATATGTATCAGCAGAAATTAGTACTTGCTATGCCATCTGAGTGCAATTGAGCATACAGCAGCTAATAACACTTGAGTGATTAGCAAAGAAAGAAAAACAGCAAAGAAAAAGCATGTACATTTTACCAGCAGGTAGCCTATAAGGGTAATCAGCCTGGATATATGTGTTGGYTTATCTCTAGGTAAATCAAGCATTGTTCATATCCACACACCTCTCTGTGTAGATAGCGTGTATAAGCTTATGCTGCAATATTTAAGACTGAAATGTTTTAATGCACAGGTGAAGTGCATGTTTTAATGCACAGGTGAAACTACAGTGAGTCATGAAGGTTATGTTTATCCTTTCTAGATAGACAATTTAAATTAGTACAGCACATTTCAGATCCACTGCTAGACAGAACATAGTAAAGTAAGAAAATATGTGGGACAGCCAGCGTGCTTCACCAAAGAAATCTTGTGTGACCAAGCCAGTGGCTTTCTATGATGSGGTAGCTCCACCAGTGGACAAGGGAAGAGCTACAGATGTCTTTTGTCTGATTTCTCTAATGCCTTTGACATGGTCCCCCACGACATCCTTTTCTCCAAACTGGAGAGACAGATTTGATGGGTAGACTGTTAGGTGGACAAGGAATTGGTTGGACCATCACATCCAGAGGGTGGTGGTCAATGACTCAGAATCATGATGGACATCAGTGACAAGTGGTGTCACTCAGAGGTCTGTATTGGAACCTGTGCCATTTCATATCTTCATTAATGACACACACAAAGGGATTGAGTGCACCCTCAGCAAATTTGCCAATGACACCAAGCTGAGTGCTGTGGTTGACTCACCTGAAGGACAGGATGCCATCCARAGGGACCTGGGCAGGCTCAGCAAGTGGRCCCMTGGGAACCCCATGGGATKCAACAAGARTGAGTACAAAGTGCTGCACCTGGGTTGGGGCARCCCCCAGTATCAACCCCCCAGCAGACCCAGGGAAAAGAACATGGGGGTGCTSGTGGATCAGARCTTGGACATGACCCAGCAATGTGCACTCACAGCCYAGAAAGCCAAACRTGTCCTGGGCTGCATCCAAAACCAGGTGAGGGAGAGAATTCTGCCCCTCTGCTCTGCTCTGCWCTGCTGAGATCCCACCTGGTCTGCTGCAKCCAGCTCTGGGGTCTCTGACATGGATGKGCTGGAGTGAGTCCAGAGRAGGCCACAAAGCTGCTCAAAGGGCTGGAACACCTCTCCTACRAAGACAGACTGAAGGAGTGGGGGTTTTCAGCTGGAGAAGACCTTAGAGCAGCATTCCAGTACTTGAAGGGTACTTGAGAGATGTGAGACAATTTAACAGGGTCTGTTGTGATAGGACGAGGGCTAATGGTTTTCAACTAAATTGGGGTCATYTTAAATTAAATATAAGGAAGATGTTTTCTACAATGAGGGTGATAAAACCCTGGCATATGTTGCCCAGAGAGATATTAGATGGATTGTCCCTGGAAACATTCAGGAAACATTCCCTGGAAACAATCAAGGTCAGATTGGACAGGCTGACCAACTGATCCAGTTGAAAATGACCCTGCTCATTGCATAGAGAATAGATACCATTTGTATTCTGTGGATAATTCTTTTTAAAAATGCATTAAATTTGCCTTCCCAACAGAACCAATTGCTAGATTTTTAAAGGCATTTAAGAATCTAAAACTTATAACTTATTTTAAAATAGATCCAGGGAACCTTAAATATCCTAAAGTATTTTGAGGACGGACTGTTCATATTTCAGAATCAATAATTACTCTAATTTTCATAAATTTTTATCAGGGTCCCCCCAGAAAAGTTGACTGTGAAAGTAAATAAAGAAGTAGAAAATGTCACAAGAATTAAGTATCCAAAACCTTCATTCAGGATTAATGTACCTTTAAGATCCAGTGTATTTGTCAAAAACCTATTCTCTGTAGTAAATGCCACTGATATGTACTTTCAGATGTAACAGTTATATAATCTCAGTTTAATCCAGATTTTATTGTTCAGCAGTAATATCCTGCCTCTGCTACAACTTTTGTGACTTTTTGAGTGGAAAGCACTGTGATTCCAAAAGTCTTWAAGTCTCTCTTACTCGATATACTGGTTTTGGAATTTATTCCTAAACTAGATTAGAAGGATGGACCACCTCTCTTATGAAGAAAGGCTAAAGGAACWGGTATTGTTCATTCTGGAAAAGAAAAGGCTTCAGGGTGATATAAATGCAGCCTTCCAATACATCAGAGAGACCCCACAAGAATGATGAAGAGGGTATTTTTAGAAGAATATGTAGTGACAGTGACAGGACAAGGGGGAATAAACTGAAAAGGTTTATATAAGATATTATAGAGAAATTCCTTACTCTGAGGGTGGTGAGACACTGGAACTGGTTGCCCAGAGAAGCTGTGGATCCCCCAGCCCTGTATGTGTTCAAAGCCAGGCTGCATGGGGCACTGAGCAACCTGGTCTAGTGGGAGGTGTCCCTGCCCATGGCAGGGGTTGGAACTAGATGATCTTTAAGGTCCCTTGCAATCCAAACCATTCTATGATTCTATTATTCTACTTTTTTTTTTCTGCAAATCAGATTTGGCAGTAAGAGAATGAGGAAATTCCAGCAAAATGCCTTGTTAGCAACTGTACTCCCATCCCTGATCWGTGACCCAGGTTTGGACTGAATCCTTTCCTGTATGTTGGCCTGTTTCCTCATTTGTCTTTTCTCCTCAATGCTCTGGATGTAGGCAGGAGATTCCATGCCCGTACGAGAGACAAATGGCACAGAATTTCCTTGATAAATGATGGCCACGCAGAACAGGTCTCTTTAACATGTAGATTAAGTAAGTCAGACAGTGAAGGCCTTGAGAAATAAGCATATGCTTTTTTCCAGTTAGGCTCATGCCAAATCCATGAGGCAATTCCCACCTGCCTGCACAAACAGATGACTAGGAGGCGATTCCTGCACACCTCACAGAGACACCTAGATCTCAGGCATGCATGGAAGAGATTGCTACGCATGCCCTGGCTGTAGGAAAGGCTTAACTGATGCATGTGCCACAGACACCACAGGGTCCAAGGTTTCATCCGGTGGGCCCAGGTGCATTTGGCCCTTGCAGAGCTGCCGCTGCCCCTTTTTTCCTCACCCTCTGTCAGCCTCCCTTCTCCTGGGTCCCAAGCCCAGATCAATGTGAGCCCAGATCAAGGTCCACATGGCCATGTCCCCCACCTCCTGTGGGTTCAYCCCAGGCTTCATGCTCCCTCCCTGCTATGCCTTGGGGCATACCTGAGTGYCCAGAGAGTGAAGTGCTGGGCTGAGGGATCACAGCATCACAGAATCCTTAGGGTGTGAAGGGACCTCTGGAGATCACCAAGGTAACCTCTGGAGTTACACAGGAATGCCTCTGGGTTGGTTTTGAATGTCTCCAGAGAAGGGGACTCCACAACTTTCCTGGGCAGCCTGTTCCAGTTCTCTGCCACCCTCAGTGTAAACCTCTTGTTGAGGTGGAACTTTCTGGGTTTCAGTTTCTGGCCATTGCTCCTCATCCTGTCACTGGGGACCACTGAAAAGAGTCCAGCACCATCCTCTTGACACCCACCTCTGTCATATTTGTATGTATTGGTTACATYCCCTCTCTGTCTTCTCTCTAGATTAGACAGGCCTAGCTCCCGGAGTCTCCCCTCWTAAGGGAGATATTCTGGAGCCCTGGTCATCTTTGTCATCCTSCGCTGGAYCGTCTCCAGTAGCTCCTCATCTCTCTTGTATTGAGGAGCCCAGAACCGGACATGGCGCTCCAGATGTGGCCGAATACAGGGAGAGGACACTCCAYCTGCAGTGACACGAAGATATGCGAGCCACAGAGGGAAGCAGGCCGGTCTCTCCTCMGTCACCCCCTCGGCTTTACGGGGGTTTTATTTAAACCTCGTTGAAACGAGCCAGCTCCACGGAGCCGCCGCTCCCCCGCCAGGTGGCGCTGCCCGCGGCTCCGCCCTCAGGCCCGCCCGCCAAACCGAGGCGCGCGAGGGGCGTGCCCGCGAGGCCCCGCCCCGCCCCCTCGGCCGGCGCGTGCTGCCCGCAGCCTCCGCGAGCCCGCGGCAGTGGCTGGAGGGAGCGCGGGCCGGGACACGGATACCGGGAGCGAGCGGAGAAGGGGCAGGGAGGAGGAGAGAAGAAGGGGAAGAAGAAGCCATCCCTCTGCCGAGGGTGAAGCCCCGTGCCATGAGCCCCGAGGAGAAGCCACCGCCCGGTCGCTCCCGCGGTGACCGGCCGCCGCCACCCCAGCCCGCGGCCGGGCGATCCCGGCGGCGGGGCGGGCTCCTGGCGGAGATCCGCACGCCCATCCGCACGGAGCCCTTCCAGGAGCGGTACAGCCTCAGCCCCGGCCGGGAGCTCGGCAGGTGAGCGCTGCCGCCGCTGCCCCGGGTGGCGGGGGAAGGAGCGGGGCCGGGGGGTAGTGGCGTCCCTCCCTTGCTGGTCCCTGCCGGCGTAGGGCCGCGTCCAGGGGCATCCAGCGGTGCGCTCTGCCCGCGCTCTGTCAGCTCCGAGGGCGTGCCTGTGGCATTGGCTCGGCTGGAACAGGGTGCTGGGAGGCAGCTGTACTCCGCAGCTGTCCCTCCTTGTGCTAAACAAGTCATCCTCGGCTCCCCAGCCTTGCGGATCTGGCTGGGAAGATGCTGTGGTGTTCCCTGGGAGCCCCTGTGGAGTAATGGTTATTGCTCTAGATTTCCCTTGGAGAGGGAAGCAAGCCTGCTCCTTTCAAAAAAAAAAAAAAAAAAAAAAAAAAAAAAAAAAAAAAAGAGAAAAGTATTTATTATTTCCTCGAGCTTTTCAAGCTGTGACATGCATAAAAACAACTTTAGACTCGTTTAGGGGTAGCATATCCTTGACAACAATGTAATGGTGGAACTTTTCAAAGAGTTAAAAAGCTGGTTAAAATCTTGGGTTTGGAAGTGATTCCACRTGTAAGGTTTAGACCGTGTATAATTTCAATACCTGACTGACAGAAAGCATTTTGGGTTCTGGGGCAAAAAGCCTCATTAAAAGTTTTTTGCGTCTTGGGAACTACATATATGGAATTTCAGCACCACTGAACCAATGTTTTTGTCTGAAATTCTGTCACTTCTTATTAAAATAATAATAGTGTTCTTAGAATTACATGTGCTTCATCCGAAGAATGTTCCGATAAAAAAGATTAGATGGGATACCACAGGATATATGGAACCATATCCTCCTTAATGTGTGTTCTGTTGCAAGTTGTGCTAGCTGTGTAACTCAGTTTATACAGCAGCAAAATCAACCCCTTTGGAGCTAAAGAGGAGTTGCCRTAAGTACCTCTAACAAATATTTAGGTTGTCTAGGTGTTAGCTTAATGCTCACTTGTAATTCTGATGTACCAGTAAAATAATTCCTGTTTAAACATAGTGGTCTAAAGCATTCACATGGAAAGCAGGTGGGAGAAACATCCCGTGCAAGTGAGAAAGATTTTTTTAGCTTGTTGTGACCACAATGTTCAAGGCCTGGAGACTGAAGCTAACTAAATGCAGGCTAGAAATSAGCCTAAATTCTAAGACACAGTCCAAAAGGCGTAGGAGCAGTTTAGCACAGAATGTCCACTGCTATCACTGGTTTTGGYTTTTTTATTTATTTGAAGTTCAGGTGACTTCAGAAAATATTTTGCAGTTCTTCCATGGAACAAGCATTTGTCTCAGAGCCAGCTGATAGTCATGGGCCTAATCAGAACACAGAATAGATGAAGGTTCCTTCTGGAACAAAAAAGTACAATGGAGAAGATTGGCTTTATACTTAATACAAGAATTAAGTACTGCTGCAAGTCTTAGTCTGCAGTTTAAACAAGTAAATCTCAGCATGGCTTTTTGTGTGGAATATTTTTTGATCAGAACTATATTTAAAGATGACCTTCATGTGAAAGTTGTGATTTTGCACCTGTAGTTAAAATGAGTTAAGTGGCAATTCTTAGTGTTTGTCTTGTTTTGTGCAACAGTTTTGTGCCGTGATTACACATTTTTGGTTCAGACTATCTTTATCTCTCCTCAGCTTCACAAATGCTTTCACTATCTTCTTTTTTTAGAATATAGAAATCTCTACATTTGAATGTATATGCTTGGGTTTTTATTTATCAGTTTTGGATGTTTTTTACTACATTTTGGTTTTTTAAAAGTGGATACTTCAGCTCAAATATTCCCATTAAAGACTATCCTTTGCCATTTCTGTGACAAAACATAGGTGGAAAGTCTCTGTGCCACTTAMAACTGTCATTTTATTGATAATGGATTAAAACAAATTGTTTCACTTTTACACRTTCATAAATTGTGTAATTCCTTACTTATGGGTAGAGTTTATCTTTACAAAGAACAAATTAGCACCCAGGTATGGCAGGTTTTTCTCTCAGAGGAAAAGCAGTCCTTGTGCACAGAATATAATTATCTTAGAATTAAGATTTGGTAGACAAAAGTTTATATGCTCTGTATTTGTCCATCCCATTTCCCAGAACTAGGGAAACAGTTTTAAATTTGAACTTTAGGTAGGTTTGAGAATAACAACGTTTGTATGGATTGTGTTTAAAACACAGCAGGGAGAGAGTAGGTTTATCACCTTTGCTGAGATCTGGGGTGCTGTGTGAGCTCAGCTGGTTTGTTTGGTCTTTGGCCTCYCTTTCTGTCAGTCAACACATATATGTTGAACTTCCCATGGCATTTGGAGACTGTTTTCTGTTCCCTGTCCCCTGCATTTGGAGGAGTTAGGAAGAAAGGGGAACATACCAAAACGTTAAGGCACTGTAGTTTTAGCAGTGCTGGGAAGAGAGGTATGGGGGCTCTGGCTACCGGTGGCAAGTTAGGGAGCAAAAGTCCATGGGAGAAGCAGTCCTGAGAGGTATGGATGAACCTGGGAGGAGGTGACATTTGATCACAGTGTCACCAGAGGGACTTGGGTGCAAACCCATAGGAAGTTCAGGTTCATTAGTTCTGCTCACAGGAGAAAAAASTGCTTTCAGAATGTGGAGCTTACATGCTTCAGAAGGTGCTGCCTCGTTCAAGTAGCTGAACAGGCATTTGCAGATCTGTTGAAACATAGCTGTTGGGAGAGCCAGGTTCATTTGGGAAAASCATCAAAAACTTTATTATAATAACCATTCAGGAAAGGAAATCATTGCAAGTTCCTTAGGTTGACATGGAAATAAAAGTTTTTAAATGGAATTATTTAATATTGGTCCAGTAMTCACAGCCTTAATAATTTTACTGTTCTGAAAATCAGAGTATCCTCACAAATCTTCACTTGCATGAGGTTTGAAATCAAACTTACCACTGATGACTGTTTTAAGGATGCCACTTCTCATCACATCGCTGAGACTTAAATGTTTTCAGACAGTGCTAGCGTGAGTTGGGTTAGTTTGAAGACACCAATTGCTTAACTCTTCCCCTTACCATTTGTTGTTATGCCAGAATTGTRCTGTAAAATGGGGAACAATAAATTTTCTATTACTGAGAGCTTCCTTAAGGAGTCTACTGTAAGTATATTTAGTTGTTTTGCTCATTTTCCTCAAGGAAAAAACTCCTAATTGCTAAGTATTGCTAGGCTATTAATTCTTCAGCTTGTTAATGGAATTCCTTGTTGCATTCTTTTTTTTTATGTGAAACAAGCTAAGCACATATTGGAATTCATCATTTGTGTACAGAAAATAATACTCCTGATTCTAGAGCTGGGTTAGAGGAAGGTGTAAGTGGCTGGTCTGTCTTTCTTCTGGAAGGTAACATTTGCCTTAAATGATTGATCCAAAATAAATTGTCTTCTAGTGAAATATGTGCACACACATAATTATGTGCACTGCAATTCAGTTGTTTCTCCTCATTGCCTGTTTTTTGTTAAAGTGTACAAGCTCATTCTCTACCCAAAGGTAAGAATAAGAAATACTGTAATTATTTAAGGAGACTGAAATATTCTGTTCCTGACTAGGAACTGGCTGTAGTTTACTGTGCAGATAATGCATGTCTTGGTTTTGACTTCTTTTTTTCCCAAAAGAACAACTCTGGCATGATGTTTTATTTCTCAGGTAACTTTCAGTAATGTACGTCTTAGTCTTAGCGGTACATGACACATGTGCCATTTTGTGCAGTGACAMTGCTGTCCTCAGCTGCCCTCTGCAATAGCACAACTGGGGTGAAATAGCTGTAGAACTAAGCAAAAGTGGGAAAGAAAAGAAAATGAAGAGTTGCAAGTAGTTGGTTTTGCCATTTGGGAATAAATTTATATGAGTACATTATTCATGAATGTCAGAAATTGAATCCCTGCACTTTGTTGTTTGGAAATCCAAAATTGTCAGGGGGGAAAAAAACCACACTTCAGAAAAAGTGTTTGATACTAATTACATAATAAACTGCATACAGGATTGTGGATCTTAGAAAAGTTTTTTTTTCTGAACTTTATAAAAAGTAAATATCTTCACAGGAAGAAGTTATTCCTGCATTTGTTACAGAGAGTGTTTTATAGGTTACTTTAAAAATAATTTAGTTGTTTTTAAATATTTAGTTAAGTTTAGTTGTTTTTCTATATTATAAATAAATTAGTAAGGTTAGTTCTCTGTTCTTCTGAACCTAGGACATCAAAAATTAATTGGTGTGACCAATAAATGTTCCTGCTTATCTGATTTGACATTTGATTTGTGATTTGACAATTTTCCTTTGAGCTATAATGTGTGTCTAATGAAAGACTGCAGATTCTGTTGGCAATCTGAAAAAGTGACATTGAGCTTCTTTGTTACAGATATGATTTATCTTAAATCATAATTCTTGAATGAGACTCTTGTGAGGACTGAGAACTGCTTACAGTTTCCTATTCTTGTCTCACTCCAAAGCATTTTTATTTGCGATGGGATGTCTGGTGGTCTGCTTTCAACTTGGAAAATGAGCATTAAGATTGTCATCTCAAAATTATTCTTCCTTCCATGCAGTGTTTTCACTGCTAGCTSTTCTCAATACACTAAAGTAGCAATGATGTGACTTAACACTATTTTATATACMTCTTATAAGTTCTGAAAAACAGGATTTTAAGAAAAGCAAAGATGAAGTGCATGCAATGTATACTTCATAAGAAAGCTTTTTATATCTGTCATATCTACTATTTTGTCTCAATCAAAAATAAATTCTTTAAATAAAAAAAATAAAGCAAAAATTTATTCTTTATTATAAAATGTATCTTTTGGCTTAACCGTACAGTGGATTCTATCTTTGGATCTTAACTGAAATTTTCTCAGACATTAATCTAGATCGCTGCACAGTAATTAGTTCTACTGGTTATAAACATCAGGTTTGTCAGGTTTGATCTTTTTGGGGATTGCATTCAGAAAAGATGAGTTCTAACAGGCAGTAGTTATAATAGCTCTAATTATAGGCATAACCATAAGGAATCTGGAYAGGATTCTTGGTCTGAAACAATTTTGAATTAGTATTTGTCAGCCAGCTGAACTCCAGTGTAACCTTTCCTTTGAATTACGTCACCTTTCAGGCTTCTGGCCAGCTTAGCTAAACAGGACATGCGTGGCCACACACGGTGGTGGCTCTTGCTTTTTCTTGCTGCTCCATGAATACTGTTTTATTTCCATAGTGACTAATGCACAGGGAATCRCAACACTGGTACTCATTAGGCTAATTAACTTGTTTCCAGGTAAATTTTGCATGTAATTCAAAAGAGCACAGTACTTGAGAACTGTATTATAAAGATTTCAAACTTTTCTAAGCCACTTTCTCTAGGTCCTTCCTAGTGCTAGAATTAAAAGCTTTTGACCACTCTCAGGCAACAATTCAAGAGGAAGTACACGGTGCATTCAGAGACTATATAAGGAAAACAGAGAAGGCTGAACCCAAGTAGGGACCTAGATTAATTGGAGTAAAGCTTAGTATCTATCAGGTATTTTAAAAAACTTGTTGCTAAAGGGCTTCTCAGTTTACTTTTATATGCTGTTTTTTTGGTTTTTGACAACATAGTTGCCAGCCGATTTCTTTTTTTTTGTGATGTTTTTGGTGCTAAGAACTTGAACAAGTACTTTAACACTTTTGATAAATGCATAGCTTTCTATTGTACATTATTTTTTGCTACAAAATTATCTTCATGCATTTACAAACCTTGATAGTTTCATGTATATATTAGCAATTAAGAACTTTCTCCCAAGAAGTTAGATTCAAGACATTGAAAGTATATTCTTTCTGTCTGCCCTCACCAGACATCTGGGTTGTGCTGTGATCTAGTCTTAATACATACTGTGCTTATGAAAAATATTCCTAGAGGAATTGCTGTGATCTAGTCTTAATATATACTGTGCTTATGAAAAATATTATTCCTAGAGGAATAACTGTGGCTGTATCAGTGGTTTCAAGTCCAATTATTTTATTGAGATTGCCTAGCAAATACCCACTTTGTGGGTGCTTATTTTACTTGATTCATTTAGACTGTGTGATTTTGAAATAAATGCCTATTAAAAGCAAGCTGACCACAACTTTGTTTAGCAGTTATAGTTCATGGATAGCAGTCTTCTACTAATAGACTGGGAAGTGAAAACTATGATACAAACTGAAGTAGTTAATTATGTGACCTTCAGCTTGGAGATGGGAGAGGCAAAACCCATTGTAATTGTATTCCAAAATAGATGAGGATGAGTRTTTTGGTTTCAGCAACCCTTCAATAAGTAAAGAACCAAAATAAAGATCTCTAAAGCTATTCCTGCAGCTTCATAAGGAAATGTTTACATATAAACAAAAAGGGTAGTTTTGATGATCATTATACCTGTATGCTAAGAGCTAAAGTAAGATTACTATACTTGAAAGTATGAGAATTCATCATTGCATTAGTGATAGGTAGTAATTAAAATACCTTTTCAGTCTAAAAATCAGCACTGTGTGAATGGAACTGAGTAGAGCAGGTGGTGTAAGACTCTTGCAAGGAACTTTAGAGCCACCACTTCTGSCAAAGTGCTGTGGGGGAAGTGGTATGACGCAAGCAGTGCAGTGTGGTTTTAGCTGGCCTGGTGCATCATCAGGTGTGTGTTCCGCTGAGGTGACGCTCATTAATGTGGGCTAAGCACCATGCTCAGCTCTCTCTGCTCTCAGTGTTCCTATTCACTTGGCATGGCTGCAAAAATTGTGCTGGAAAGCTTGGCGTTAGTCAAGTTGCTTCATTGTATTTAARTTATCCATGTTCCTTTTTTCTTGAGAACTGTTAACCAAAAAACTCTGGCTGTTATCATTTGAGACATGCCATGGTGAAAATACAAAGTGCCAACTTGGAAAATGTAGGGTCTGGATATTGCATGGCAAATGGAGCAGGATTCAATTAGAGTGTTATTACCTTGGATATGGTGGGATACTTAAGAAAACAATAACTGGTGTACTGTGAGGTAGTCAGAGAAAACATAAATTGCTTATTTGTACATTTTGGTTTTGCCAGCTTTTTTAATTAAAGTTTTGAGGATAAGGTGATTGTGGGAACTAGCACAGCTTGTTTATTCTGTRTTTTTGAAAACCGGGTTGTTTGAATTGATTGGGTTTTTTTCATGGAGATCATTTACATTTGGGCTGGGGTGTTTCTAACTTTTGARCACAAGGACCATCACTCAGCAAGGCATCTTTCTAAGTTTTGATTGAATCTTAAATGAACCAAATCACTATTAATGGGTACAAGTTTCCTGAAATGTTAATTTATAAAGGCAGTGCTAAAGCTGTCACTAAGGAATGTAAAACTAAATTYTTCTTTAATTTCAGGGGAAAATTTGCAGTGGTGAAGAAGTGTATCCAGAAAGACACTGAAAAAGAGTTTGCAGCAAAATTCATGAGAAAAAGAAGAAAGGGCCAAGACTGTCGGATGGAAATAATACATGAAATTGCAGTCCTTGAGCTGGCACAATGCAACCTGTGGGTCATTAACTTGCATGAAGTTTACGAAACTGCAACAGAGATGATTTTAGTCCTGGAATAGTAAGTATTAGTAATAATTCCTGAATAAGTTTCTGCAGTATTTKCTTAAAATTAATAATGTAAAAATAATGTGTATCAGTGTGAATAATGTAAAAGGTTTTATTGCTTGCCTGTTACCTTTGCTTAACTTCAAGAAGAATTGCTAAGAAAATGATGATTACAAGAAGCTATGTGCAGTCTCATAACTACTTCAGGTTATAACAAATTTCTGTAATTATGTAGTATCTTTCAAAGCTGAGCTATAATTTATGTAGTTAAAAACATTTTTAATGAAATATGAAGTCTGTACACTTCATACTTGTAAAAGAAAAGAGGAAAAAAGCAATGAGTATYTGTTCAGTAACTGAAGTTTATTTCACTGATAGTGGCAAAGACAGGATGAAATCTGTTTTGGTTTTTTACCAGTTATAAAAAAGGTATTGAAAGCAACGCCATTGCTAAAAAGGAACTGTCAAAAGCCTCTACAATAKAAAGCTTGCTAAAACAGTAYMTTTTKGGGGAAAGAAAGAGAGGAGGAGGATTGAGACCTAGAATAGTTACTTTCAAAGGTCATTTCACTCCACATTTGTCTGTGTGGTTTTCTCCACTTGAGTTTTTGCAGAAGGCTGTTCCTGCAGCTGTTGTGACTGTTCATCTCCTATGCCAATGCCTGTAGATACCAAGGCATCTAACTCGGTTCTGAGATGCAGCCAAATGCTTGTTGCTACTGAACTCTTAAGTTCTTGTTAAGCTTTATGGATTTTAAATAATTAGGAGAGGAACACTGAGACTCAGTAGTTCAGATGGGATTTGTCTGCTAAGATAAATGTAGTTTGTGCAGTTCTTGACAGCAAAAAGAAATGGTGAGAAATTTTGTGTCCCAATGACATCTGGTTTAGAAGTCAAACTATATTTAAAATTCAATGAAAAGGAATGAGACTGTGTCTCCTAAGGTGAAATTCCTTCTAGAATACATTTTTAAAACTTCATTGTGCCGTTAATGAAGTCATATGAAATATTTAAGTATCTTTTATAATACATAGATGTGACAGACCTTCTGGGGTTTTAACTGCTGTTGCTGGAAAYTCATAAATACTTGCTTTAAACATTAGCGGAAATTTAAACTAAAATATAGTTTAATTTTCTAGATCCTATAGGATTTAATATAAGCAGTGAAATCTAAATAAGCAATGAGTTTTGTGATAATTTCAATACAAAATTTCTAGTTTTCTTTTAGAACTCAATTTTCTTACAGTTGCAAAACTTCTAATCTGGAGTATTAACGAGGTTGTTCAGTAATTAGCAAAATTATTTGGYTTATATGCATCAGGCACACCTTGTTTCAGATAAATAGCTGTGTGCTGGAGTTGTAAATTACAAAAACAGTCTTTCCCTGACTTCAGCAAGTATGTCTGAATGCTTCTTTAATGTCAACATCTTCCAGAGACATGTTGCAACAAAACAGGTATGAATGTTAGTGAATTTCTGACATTCTGTATGCAGAGGATTAAAGAACATACCTAGACTGCAAGCTTCTCCAGGGCATTTCAGTTTCTATTGAGCTTGATGGTCTGTGTGGCAGATCTTTATCTCCTGAAGAGGTAAAACAAATACTTAATTCTTGGCCACTAACTTCATCTGCTGAGGTTTAAAGTTTCTTGTCTTGACATAGAATCTGCCATRAGGGCTGAGGGTTTTGCGTTGAGGAAGTGTTTTGCCTTCGGAAAGACAAATATTAATGTTACATGGATGGTTATCTTTGAAGCACTATCAATTTTTGACAGAAAATGAACTTAAAATTGGCCGCTGTTAAYATTGTGTTGAGCAGTGGAAAGCAGGGGCATTACAGTGTTGGCTTCAGCTGTAGCATAGCAAATTAGGGCTGTCTGCATCCACCCTCACAACAGTCTCTGATTTTGATTTGTTGTAATAAGATCTTAATCAGRGTATTTAAGTCAGTGTTGAAGGGGTAAGTCTGAAGGTGTAACAGATAAAGCCTGAAATTTATCTGTGTGTCAGTTRTATTTCTATATTTCACTGAAAATTGAATGAATGAAAAGAACCTAGAATTTTGCTGAAAAAGATACAGATACAGTCTGGGAAACTTGACATATCAGATATAAAAGGAAAAAAACAAAACTCATAACTTTTGGGCTTGATGCCTRAATGCAACCTACCTGTCATCTTCCAATTTCTTTTGAAAGAAGGAGCAGTAGAGCATCTGATGCTTAAGCATTGGTGTTTTTTTATAAGTGTACATGACCATGTTTTTACACATCTATGGAAGGGATAGATGATACTACTGGGTCATTCGTGGGTCAGATGTTACAGAAACCTGTAAGTGCAACTTCAAAAATCTTAGTCATTAGCATTATATTGTGAAGAGCCTCTGAACTGAGCTAGGGCCTTGTTTAAATACAGTAGGCTTTTGTTATGCTTGCTTTAAAAAAAGGAAGAAATTGTCTTTATCATCTTGAAGGCACAGTTAATATATATTTGATATGCTGGTTTCAGTGTTTTTGCACCTGTAGTTATTTGGTCCTGGATAATGTTATAGACTTATATTAATATTAATCYATTAATGCTAATGAACTTATATAGTCTTGGATATGACTTGTTGTCCTGCTTGCTGGAGGTGTGACTGGTTAAAATAAGAATCTGCTGTCAGGAAATGATCCATTTGGCATTGGATTCAATGGACAGAACTTGAAGCAAACCCACTGTAATCACAAATAACTGTGCTTCTCCAATATTTGTGTCTTGTCTATTAGAGTAGTAAGCAAAGTTCTTCTAGTTAGCAGTCTCAGATCAAGACTGGAGAGCTTAAAAAAGTTTTAGGGGAAAACTTCCCAAAKGGTCTTAGTTATGCTTTCTTTGTGTTTCATTCAGTTTTTGGGCTGCCTGATTGAAAAGGTGAAGGCAAAAAAAATTAAAGCAATTGTCTGAGAACCGAGAGCTTTTAAGACCAGTATCTACACCTTAATGCATTTGGATGCTTCTCTTCCCATATTCTCTCATCAGATATGGATTTACAGTTTTCTCAGGCTTTGGGGACATTGGTATTTTATGGTAGCCTTACACTGGAAAAATTGCCAGTCAGTGCACTTACTATCCAACAGTATGCCTAGCCAAGGGAAAGAGGTATGGTGTCAGCAGCAGTGAGCATGAACCTTTGCTAGTGTTACAGCCACTTTGGTGTGAACAGCTTAAGCTCCATGTACAGAAAGTAGATGACTTCCCATTTTCTTGCAAAGATAATCCTTTCAGGAAGATTGAGGAAGTACATCTTTGTCTATTGCAGACTRTATATAACTCAGCATTTAAGTCAAGTGTATTTTAGGAATAGATCCACATATCTGTACTCTGGTGGTTCCTACTTGTGGGTTCTTCTGAACACTAACTTAATATCTGATCCATTAAAGCTGACTGTTTTGCTTAAGGGAATCAATTCAGCTCACTCCACGGCAACAATAGACAAAATGGTCTTGCAATATTGAATTTCTRTAAGTGTTCTTGTAAAGGATTGCTGGTTAGTTATTTGCATGTGGTAATTTTTGGACAGAATAAATTGTCCAGAAGAAGTTGTTCCATCAGCATCCTAAATAGCAAAGTTGAGATCAAAAACCAAAACATTGCATATGAAATCACACTTCCATGTGAAACTATTTTGTAAAGCCAAGTGTCTACGGCAGCTGGGAATGTCAGTGTCTCATGAAGTGGGTGTGCGTGTGTAAGGGCTGTATTTGCATGTCTCACTCTTAAAAATGCTGATGAACCCAGGCATCTTAAGAAGTATTGGGAGGGACTTRAATACTTTTTATTTTTTTAATAAAGTTTCTGGATCAAGGGTTTTTTACTCTCATGTTGGTAGCACTGTCTCTTGATTTCTGATGGGAAATTGCTTCAGCTTTCATTGCCTTAACTTTTAACACCTATAATTCAGAGGTCTTTAAGTGTAGTATTAAAATTGTAGGTAGCTTACATTTTAGCATTGGTGCCTACCTCAGTTTTAATTAAGTTTCACTAATAAATAAATTGTAACAGATGGCTACCAATAGAAATATAGCAAACAGGGCTTTATAAGGTCCCCCCACCCACAACTTACACTTTTTTTCAGCTGAGTCTGTTAAAAGTAAAGTGTGATCCCATGTTTTGGGTGTAAACGCARTTTCACAGAATTAAATAGCAGAAGTATTTTTGCCTTATTTGAGGTGGCAGAGCTGTACCACAAAAATCCCAGGGTTATTGCTATAAAACACATCCTGTTAGTAATTTTGGTAGTAGATCTTATCACTGTATGTGCGTTATAATTCACTGTTACGAGGAATTAAATCACTCTTCAGGTAACATCTTGTGGCATTCTTAAAGCAGAAAGTTTAATTTATTGGTTGCAGTAGATTTTTTTATAGCTATTTGGAAGATATTGATTGCTTTTTCAAGGAATTTGGTTTAGGATATTAGAATGCACTAGCCCATGTTCATTTMAAAAATGTCATTAATATCTGAATCTTGTTCAAAGCTGAAATATTGCTATTTCCATGAATTAAATAAAAATGGACTGAAGAAAGAAGCAATATTGTYAGGCATTTGAAACTTTTTAAAAGGAATTAAAGTATTAATATTCCTTTGAAAAACTCATTTTATTCTTGAGCTCTATCATCTTTGATGCAGAATGCATAAAAATAATTATTTAACAGAGGGACTTCTTGAAAGAAAATCTTAGTTTAATAAATGAAATTGTACTGCTGTGCCATTTAGCCAGCATGTGTAGAACAGAAGTGTAAAACGCTTTAGAAAAGGTTAAGATTTAACCTTCTTTTCATTTCTTTTTTTTTTTTGAATAAGGCAATCTGCTCAGAAAATTTAAAATTATAGCAATGAGAATACCTTGGAGGGCAAAAAACTTGTTTTTAATCCATGAGGCTTAATCCATGAGGACTGTAGCAGCAAAGTTAGTATAGGCAAAATGAAAGTTTAAGTGTATTTAAGTATTCTTTTTCTGGGGGTATACATTTGAAATGCACAATTTTGGTAGAACGCACATTTGCTGTTATATTCCTGTTGACTGTGCCTGGCTGTCTTTGGGATAGCCTAGACAATACAATTCATTGGAAAAAAACAAGCAAAGGSAGAGTAGATGGGTATGCATCAATAAAGATTAGTGCTTGTGCAAAGTCATGTTTGCATGTCACAGTTTGGTCTAACTGGAGAGAATTCTGTCCTCAGGGGTTTCACCATCTTTCCCTAAGGGGCCATTATAGAATTTCCTGCAGAACAAAGGGTGTATGTGCTGATTCCACACTAGTAGTTCAACAATCCATATGCAAAGTGGCCCCATTCTGATGTTCTTATACCCATTCTGCTTTTAAGATGGAGCTTCTGTTCAGTTTATTTTACTTTTGATGCTACAAGGTTATATTGTAAAGCAATTTTAGTTCTCTAGAGCCATTGCTATACAGAGCTGGTACTGCATGTGGCTTCAGAGTATTTTAAAAACATTCATTTATATCTAGTTATTGTTAGATTTTTTTTGTTATTCTGCTATTTGTTTAAATACATGTAAACAAAAGAGGAAGCAAGCTGAGAGCTAAAATTTTCAGTTATTGTAAGATGAAAGAAGCTTAGAAACATAATATATCCCTGTATACCAGAGACTTCATAAACAATTCAATTGCAGACTTTAGATTTATTCTTTTGAGTATGTGCAAAGTGTTTTGAGGAGGATGGGAGGTGGGGCTGTTTTGCTCTATGTTTACAAGATTTGCCTTGGCCAAATTTCCATGTAGTTTCATAGGAATGGCCAAAGGCACATCTTTTGTGAAAATACTGTCCTCAAACAAATGTGGCATTCATCTGAAAGCAAAGTCAGTAGTGTTTCAAAAGTAGTCCCCAAAATTTCTGTACTATTTGTGTTCTCTAACGTAAATGTTCATATTCTCTAATCTAAATGACTAAAATCTTTGCTTCTCTCCAAAGCTGCCACACTGCAGAGAACACTTCCAAGGCTGTAAAAGCTTGCCAAATGTCTAATAATTAAAATATCACTATTGGATTATACCTCCTGCTGATCTTGCCTATATTAAAAAAAAATAGTGCGAGTAGATCCAAATGGATGCTATAATTTAGTCTTTGAACTAACAATATTCCTGCTGTTCCACAGTGCTGCTGGAGGTGAAATTTTTGACCAGTGTGTGGCTGAAAGAGAGGAGGCTTTCAAAGAAAAAGATGTTAAACGACTTATGAAGCAAATATTAGAAGGAGTTTCATTCTTGCATAGAAACAGTGTTGTTCATCTTGACTTAAAGGTAAGATTGGTGCAGTATTTTTCTTATTGGTTTCTGATCTGTTGACTTTCTTGCTGGTAATACGTCACAATAATGCCAATTTATAATTAACACAATTTTACCTAATTATACCTTGAATGAAAGATTAAGCTTTTAGGATAAAGTAGCCACTAGGTATGCAAGCCTTTTGGGGGTTTTCTGTGATTATGTTAAATATAAACTTCATTTGATTACATGTAATGTAATGAATTCAAAAGTCAATTTGCCTTGCATCTTAAATTTCAAATGAGTGCATATTATATGGGCATTGAAAAAATAGGTTTGTTTTTTGAATTTACTTGTTTCAATGAAGAAGAAGGGTGGTAGTGACACTGGTGGGATAAAGTGTAAGGTTGCAGAATGAAATGTTCATACAGGACTAGTAAATTAATGTGTTAGGTACATTTATAGCATTTTCTTCTTTTTTTTTCCCCAGTTACTGTAAAACCCAATTTAAATGTCTGTCATTTGCTGCCATACAATTGGCTGACAGCCTATTGTTATATAAATTATCATGATTTACTGAAATAAGTATTTTTTGTTATTGAAAAATAGGCTTGACCCAAATCAAGTGAAAATACAGTTGCCATCATATGAAAGCTTATGGTCAAGAAGGGAGTTGTAACAGGAATTCGGAAAACTCCTCTCCTATTGGCAGCAAGCTCCAGTTAATTTTCTTTAGCTTCTATCCATGCACTCATATGGAAGATGAGTGCAACTGTATCTTATTAGGACGTTGAAATAGTTATTACTAAGCAAGACAGTATAAAAAGTAACTTGCATTACATTTTTTAAAATTCTTGTTATATGTCCTACTCTTGTATTTTCTAAGTATGTTGTAAGATGYTCCGTGTTTGTTCTGTTGCTGAGATTCTTACTTACACTGAGTTGTATTTTGGCACAGTTACAAACCTATCAGTAGATTACAGTATCAAGCTGTATGTATTTAATATATAACTCAGCATGTCAGGAACCATTCATCAGCTAAAGCAGATGAATCATATTTGCACACAAATGTGTCGCCTACCTGGTTTTCTAAACATTTATCCAACTTACATGTGGAATTCTTTAAAATTTTGATTGAGTCATACTCAGGGAATATTAATAATGGTACTAAAGTAATGAATGAAAAATGGTTAGCAAGTGATGTGAGAATAAGTATTCAGAAAGACTAAAAATGAGCAGTTAGAATTCCTYTAAGTTCCCGTGTGCTTAAACAAGATACTCAGTATCTCTACAACAGTTGGCCATTGAATTTCCTTGAGGCGAGGTGTRTAAAATTAAAATGTCCTTCGTGGATAGTATATATTTGTACATGTTTGTAGTTAAAGTTGTGGTTTTCATTAGCACCACCAGCTGGATATCTGTAACTAATGTGTTGTGTTTTATATGACTACAGTACTTACTTGCAAAAGTAGACTTGGAATGTTGATTACARCTTTTGTCCAGAAAAGAAATTCATAAAAAGCTTACTTAGAAACTTTCCAGCTGGTGAGAAAACTTATGCTATAACATGGAGCATATGCAGTTCTCATTGAAAAATCCAGCATCATTTTCTGCTTTACAAAAGTTCATTARCAGAGCAAATTTTCTAGTGATTGAGGTTAATTAACATGTTTATACATTACTGCGATGTGCAATGTGTGTTTAAAAGTGGATCTGAATAGGAGTCCTACTTGCAGTGTGATGACTTTCATGATACATAAAAATATCAATCTTTTGCACAATAAGGTTTATGTAAGTCTTCAGGGTATTGGGAAATAAAAATGATGGATATGGTAGAATTAAAAACCATTACTTGCAAAGATTAATTGATCCACATGCCTTGCAAGACTTYAAAAAAAGACCCATTTTTGACAGAACTCACTAAGTTGTTTGCTGGCTTTGATTGCATATTTATTAACCCACCCTCCTCATCTGTTGTATCACATGTCTCATGCTGCTTTACCTTGCAGTTTAAAGCACCATGAAATTTACTAAGTGCTTTGTTTGTGATGACATTTGGAAGACTTCTGTATGTTTACTGCTGTTATGTAAGGTGTTTGCCAATAGCAAAGTTTACAAATTCTTGCTAAAATGKTTTTTTTGGTACTATTATTTTCACCTTTGTGTCTCTAAAAATTTCCATTTCATTTGTCTGTTACAAACTCCTTTGGAAAGGTCTATCCAATTTTCCATATGTTGCCCCTTCAAAAAAAGTCAAATTCTACACCCAGAAGACTTTAAATCCAAATGTTTGTCAGTATGTGATTGCCAGCTTAATACTTAYATTACAAATCTAATGAACCAGATCCATGACACTGACAGCTACCTTGCTTTACCTTCTGTTTGCCCCCTTAATAGATACTTTTCCTGAGACTAAACACTGCAGAAAGAAATGRTGAACTTTGATGTGGCATAGCAAGGTTGTCACCTGATCATTTYTTTCCAAAAGCATGGTTCTACTGAAAGATGGTTGAAATATGTCTTGCTTTTAATAGCAAAACATAATTATGTAGTCCAGTTTTGACTTGGAGAAAGAACAAATATAATGCTACCAAGTGCAAATTAATTATCACTTGATAGTATTGTGTTGATGCTATTTAATTTGCAGGGTGTGTGTAGRTTGTAGTCAGTAGTCTTTCATCTCCTCTTAATGGTGCTTAAAAGCTGCAGAGTAAGGGAACGCTTCTTTCTCTGTGTTCTAATGTGCTGTTTGACTTACTCTTGAATTGGTGTTCAGTAAAAGCTTAAGGTGTTGGGAATGGAAGAGAATTTAAGAAGCAAGGGGGCTGAGGAAGAAGATATGGGCATCCTTAATCTTTTTTTTAGAATCAGCCTAATTTAGTATCTTTTCACATAAGACAGTGCACTGACAGTGCAGCTGGAATGTCTCAGCTAGTCTGTTTTTCCTGTTTCTGCCCATTTTCTTGGATAATTCCTGYCTTCAGGGACTTGAGGGGGTTTGAGTATTATATAATTAGATAACCTGCAACATTCATGAAGGTTAAGTAAGGTGATGCATTCAAAACTTGACCTTTATTATGTGTCCTAAGTCCTAATGTATCTTCTTGAAACCAGCTAAAGAAAAAAAGAAATAAGGGGATCTAAATGGAACCTTTAAGCCTTGCTGCAGTAGAGGGGGAGAAAATTTTTYACTGGGAACAATATCTGAGAAGCTAATGAGGGAGGCATGGCCAGCTTTTCTGGATGTGTGCTTTTCTAATACAAATAGAGAATAACAAATCTGAACTATAAAGAATATGGTAATGTGCAGCTCCAAAAGCCTTTGTACAGCCACCGGATTCCAGTTTGTAAAGAAAATAAAAAAAGAGCTGTTCTTAATATGTAGGTTTACAAACAGAAAATAGATTGACACGGAGTTAGTTTGAAATTACACAGTTGAATTTTGCAGGAATTGAAAAACTTGACTATATTCAGTTTAAAAAACTTGACTATATTCAGGTCTCGCAGTGAGGAGAACCGGGCCAAATTTTTCTGAATGTTCTTCCCATGTTTATTTTTGTGTTCAAAAGCAAGGCTGTTCGTGTGAGAGCATGTCTTCATGAATGACTATGGGGATGGAGGACAGAACATTTGGGTTAGGGAAGAAGTATAAATGTTTGTGTTATTCCAGTTGGATTATCAATCAGCGTTTGCTTTGTTGTTCTTACTTTTTTGTCCTCCTCCCTTTTCAACCACCCTGATACAAGATGATCCAGATTCCCAGTAAAGACTTTTGCACTTTCATGRAACTTGTGCTCACTAGAGGCATGAATGCAGTGTCAATTGTCAGTGCTACCATTTGGAGAAGTTAATGATAAAACCCAGTGTAATCACTGGCCTGGAGGTAGGGAGGGTCAAACCTTTTTTTTGGCAACTATATGCTTAGTTGCAAAAAATGTAAGACCTGTTGTCTAAAGTTAGTTTTCAGATTTTTTTTGAATTGAGCTTTCATTTAAAATAGTAAGGAACTTCTTAATGGCCACAAAGGGCTTTGAAGGAAGACAGCCAAGATCTAGTGACGTCAACGCAAACAAGTTTATCCAAAGGTGATGCTCTTAAAAACCTGTTTTACAGGCTGCTATATTTTTTTAAACTGTTCTTCTGTTAGTGTTCTGTAATACAGTTGTTTGTACTTTGAACAGGATTCAGGTTGGTTGCAACAGACCTTCTTTAAACAGGTGCAGTCAAAAAATAGTTTTGTGAGTTCAGGGGTTTTTAAGTGATTGGGTGTCTTGGACACCCTTCAACGGGAGGTATTTTACACCATCTGTGGGAAGAATTAAGGAAGGAAGAGCAGTTTAAAAGGTGATACAAAGGACTAGAGGTACAAGTGTGGAGGTACTTAGATGCTATTGTTAATGACAGCTATTCGCATGCATTTCCAATGGGTTCTAAGCTAACAAAGGTTTGAGTCTCAGTTTTAAATTTAAAATCCTGCATTCCTTGTTGCTTTAAAATCACCTTGGGGAAAATACAAAAATTATCCTGGGTATCATACTTGTTATGGGAAACACTGTTGCTATTCGTGGTCTGAAATAATTGTGCAATGCAATTCATAGACATTAGATTTGGGTGATCCCAAAAGTCTCCTCCTCTTGTTTTTCAGCCCCAAAATATACTGCTAACCAGTAAGTCACCTCTGGGAGATATTAAGATAGTAGATTTTGGCCTTTCCAGAATAATGAAGAGCAGCGAGGAACTAAGAGAAATAATGGGAACTCCAGAATACGTAGGTAAGTTGTTTCTGTCAGAGTGATGAATAGGCTAGGCTTCTGGGGAGTGAAAAGAGAATTTGGACCATGCCAGACTGGCTGTGTAGTTACTGTGTCACAAGATCAAGTTATTACTTGGACGTGGTACTGCTGTCAAAGGCAGAGCTGGCAAGCCTTGCCAGTCTAATGAACTATGATTGTGTGCTTGTGCTGAAGATGAAGCCGCACTTTAGATGATTCTTCCCAGCAGCGATAGCAAGGATTACTTGGATTAAAAGTTTAAATTTCACATATTCAGTCTCTGAATACAATATTTCAGCCAGTGTATGTTTTCTATTTTTTTGTTTTTAAAAAGCCCAAACCACTCCAGGCCTTGAAAATATCATTAGGTTGTATGGTATATTTTCACAGTTATGGGTTACAGTACTGGAATATGCAATTTTGGATATTTCTGGGKTTTTCTGCMAGAAATTTGCATATACAGATAATATACAAGGAGGGAAGGAGGCTGGCCTGGCTTCTGAAGATTAYAGTAAAAGGAAAACCTTTTTTATACTTAAAAACAGTGAATGATAGAAACCATTTAGATACCTGAATAGAAATATCTTGATTTCAAAAAACTGTCATGCTTCAMATGGCTTACCTTAAATTTTATCACATGATCATTATTGCATTATTTAACTATAATTTAATGTCTGCATATGACAAAACCCACTTTTCTTTTTTTCCTCCAAATAGCTCCTGAAATTCTGAGTTATGACCCAATCAGTACAGCAACTGATATGTGGTAAGTTGAACATTATAAGTTTACTGAATAGGGTTGTTCTTTGGAGGTTTTTTGTTTGCTTGCTTTTAAGAAGAAAAAAAGACAAATTAGAAAACTGTTTTTGTGGTTTTTTTACTTTTAATTTAGGAGCATTGGCGTACTGGCATATGTTATGCTAACAGGGATATCACCTTTCTTGGGGGATGATAAGCAAGAAACATTCTTAAATATATCTCAAATGAACGTAAGTTACTCTGGGGAGGACTTTGACCTTGTATCAGAATCTGCCGTGGATTTCATCAAAACTCTGCTGGTTAAGAAGCCAGAGTAAGTAAAATACATAATTGTATATGCAAATATGTCAGACTGACTTAAATGTAGCAATTGCTAGCATATTCATTTTTAAAGTATAAGGGAACTTTGATTTCATTGTGCTACTATTTTTCATGTGTATGAAAAGAGAATTCCTCCATTTCTATCCAAGCTTGTATATTCCAAATGTRTCCAAGTGTTAGTATTTAAAACTCAAATTACTTTCAGAAAACTGTATGAATTGTAGCTTGTAGCAGTGAACAGTATTCTTCTTGCAGGTACCCTGCTAAAGTTTTTTATATTAACTGAGCTTTGAGTCCTTAATTTTGGATGGGTTGCTAGAGACCCTTGCCCTTTTCTGGTTCATTAGTACACTTTTCTCAATGGGCAGTGGACTGGAAATTCCAGGTTCCCAAATGGAACAGGTGTTTTCTGTGGAACTTCACCAGTTATTCATGGGACATGTCAGCTATTGAAATTGCCTACTGCTTGTCTATGTGAATACGTAAAGAATGTAGAGATTGCATAATTTTTCTATATATAAAAAGAAAATCTGTATAAACTTTGAAAGCTGTTTGGCAACRTGGAAGTGTAAACTCATATTTAGGGGTCTGTAAATTCCTTTATTTTAAATGCTAGAAGTTCATCTTCTTGAACTACTGTTGTCTTTTTTGGTYAAAGATGTCAGTGCCTTTTCCTTTTTTTTCCCCCAATTCTATCTGTCTTTAATACAGTCATATCCTTGGAATAATTTGTAGGGATTTCTTCTGCRAGGTACTGGATTTTGGACATTTATTTTAATGCTTTCTTTCCTCTGCAGGGACCGGGCAACTGCTGAAGAATGTCTTCAGCATCCATGGTTGGAACAAAGTGATAATCCTGCTTGCAGGGCCTGTAGTAAGAGTACAGAAGGGGAGACCAGTGATGCCATCCAGAAAAATGCAGATTCTGCCTCTGAAAAATCAGAAGATGCTGAGAAGACYGGAGAGCAAGAATCAATAGTGACAGAAGAACTAATTGTAGTGGCTTCRTATACGCTTGGACAATGTAGGCAGTCAGAAAAAGAAAAAGTAACTGAGCAGAAAGCCATYTCCAAACGATTTAAATTTGAGGAACCATTACTGCAGGAAATACCAGGAGAATTCATTTACTGAACTGTGTGGAGCTTCATAGCTATGACTGAAAGGCAATTTTTTCTACTAAACAAAARTATTCTAGCCAAGTGAATTTCTAATAAGCGATAAATGTTCTAGATAAAAGAAAGTGCTGATAAATGGCATACAACAAAAATGTGCCAAGTTGTTATTTTCATGGAACAGATAAATAAGATTTCAAGYGACAGGAATTTAACAAAGATTATAAGCTTATTTTTGTTTTTAATTTTTATTTCTGTTTTTTTGTTGTTGTTGTTCATTGGTAACAGAGTTTTCGTTAATTATTCCAGTGTTCTTGAGAAGTTGACACTGGAAGTGTTTCAGTGACAGATGTCAATAGGACTATTTTAGGATATGTTTTGGCATTTAATGCAAATATATAATGCYGGGTTTTCCTCAAATGCCTCCTGAGTTCAGTGAAACTATCTACTGATCTAAAATTTTATGAGAGGAGAATTTGATCACCTGGTTTGATATACAGATTTCAAAATCGTGCTGTGTTTCTTTGTTTACATCATGTCAAAGACCCAGACTCCTCTGATGTGTAGCTGAACAGTAAGCTGAGCTTGTCTAGACAGAGCTGCATGTGCCCCACATAAAGAAAATTGGACATATGTCTAATTTGGGAGCACAGTAAAATTTTGCWCCTGAGGGTGATGTATCTGCTTATTTCAGTCACTTGTGAGCCAGCAGAAATTGTTCCCTGCTCCTCCTATATGGGGTGAGATGAGCCAACAGAATCCAGCTCAGTGTGGCCACACAGTGCTGATGAGAGAAARAAAGAATGACAGTCTGATATAGCTCCTCTGAAGTTATTGAAGTTCTCTCCACTGACTTCACTATATTAGATTAGACAGTTTATGCAACTAATCAGCCCTTGATGCCACCTCCCCCAGAACCCAGCTGAGGTTTTACTGGGAGCATGAGGCCATTTCTGCCTTCTTTCTATTCCYCTAACTGCTGTTTTAAGGAAGAAAGGAGCATCCTTAGGCTAAATTCCATTACCTTGTTCAATATAGCTGTCAGATGAGGAAGAAATTATTGCTTCTTCTGAAACAATGAAACACAGCTCATAGCTTCTGCTTCCTGATCACTCTCCCATAGACACTTGGAAAAACAGCATGAYATGTGGCAGGGCAGGGTGAGATTAGGGAGCAGTATGGATGGGTCATAGTTCTCAATGGACGCAGTCCCTCAGAGGACAAAGCTGGCACCAACTAGGCATCAAAATTGAGTGTTTTTTGCAATGGACTGAGTCTTAGTTTTCTAAGAAATCTTTCACATTGATGCTGTTCCAAAGTTTAATTTTGATGTAATTGAAATTTAGTACTATTATATTGCATACTGTTAACTATTCAACTATTTATTTGGTTTCCTTAGGCTGTTCCTTTATAATAAACTCTGACAAAAGTTTTCTTCCTATAAAACAGTGAATAGAAACTCTTAAGCTAGTTTTTCCATTTTTTCCCTTGTTGGTACAACACACTTTCCTAATTTCAAATGTATCAAATGTTCTTACTTCATTTCGTGATTAGGAGTTCAGGGCTCTGTGCTAATGTTACAGTTCCTCCTTAACACAAAAGTTAAATGGTTTATTAATAAGACCAGGAGCACTGGGGTGATCTGATCAGCATGGCTGGAAAGGCAGGGGAAAAGCACTAGTACAGAAGAAAGCTGAACCAAAAGCAGTGGGACAATGAATGTTTTCCATAAGGCTTYATTGCCAAAGGTTGGGTTACCTTTGCATCAAGCCACATCAGGGAAATTGCACTTAAACTGTTCTATCAGGCTTCTTCCCCTATGGAATTACATATTGAGTATTCATGTAAGTAGGGCAGCTTCTTGTTCCTCAAAGATGTTCATATAAGACAACAGCCAGCAGTGCTCAGAATTGAGTTTGGACGTTTTATATTGTAATGCAGAGATGGCTTTCATGCTCTGGAGAAAGGAATCAGTTACTGGACAGCTCTGGCTGGCTCTCTGCTGAAGAATCTTTGAGCTAACAGCATCTCTGTGTTATCTGGGTGTGTCTGGGGGCAGACAGAAGCTGAGTCTACCTACAATGCTGATCTGTTTCAGCCATGTTAGGCAGGACAATACCTTCATGGGCATCTTTCTCTTACTGTCCAGACATTTGCTCAAGACAATTTGCTTGGGTGAGGTGACATTGATTCATTAAATTCTTCTGTGCAAGATTACAATTTCTCCCATCTTCTGTCATTGCCATTTTGACTTTTTTTTCCCCCTACATCCATGCTTCCTTACTTTACCAAGCTGAGCAGAGCAGTGACATTGAAACATATTCACATCCCACCCTTACAAAACAATGTTGCACACATAAATTTTTAACAACAACTGGTTGCCCACAACAAACTATTTGAGGGAGGTATACCCATTTCACTTCCTCTTTGTAACCGTAGATCAGATGGGGACTGGTAATTATGGAATGGAGCAGGTGCTGAGCAGTATACATTTTGTCCTATATATACTGTTTTTAATGTATGTCAGTGAAGCTTAACATGTATACATAAAATACATACTTATTACAAGGCCAGCTTCTCTTGAATTGGCTGCTTTGAGATTTCCAGTGGGCTGCATTTCTGTTTAACTTCTCGTGCCTTAAGGTGGTTTTATACAGTGTTTTTTAACGTCTTTAAGAATTTGTATAAAGTTGGGAAAGTTTAATAGTATAAGTTATAAACAAGGCATCTTAGAATCACCCTATAATAGGGAAAATTTTCCATAACATAACAGGACCATCAGCCACACCCACACACTTAAAGGCTGTTTCTGTTCCTTGGTGAGTGTGGGTAAAGCTGCAAACAAGGTGTTCCTGCCCTGAGCTGTAGGAAGGAGCTGTTGCAGGCAGTGCTCTTGAGCTCAGTTACTAGTGACGTGAAACACCAGTAAGACTGGGAACAAACCACAAGCTGTGAGGAACAGCTGGTTTTCTGCATCCCCATGAATACTGGGGACTGTGTGTACTACACAGGTCATCTGAAAAAAGCTGCTGTGTTGGTTGGGAAGGGGCTGATTGTGGGGAAAGAATCAGCTTATTGATCTTGTGGGCAGTGCCATTCCACTCCCTGCTCTCTGGACTGAGCACATGCTAGCTGCCTTTGTAGCACCAAGAGCACGGCTGGTGTTTGCTCAGATGCAGGATCCTGAAAGAATCGAAGGCCAGATATTCCTACAGAGTTGTTATCTGAGGTTCTGATGGAAGAGCTAAGAACTGTATCAATAGGAGGGGTAGGTCCAGGCCTAGGCCTCCCTTTCAGTTGTTGGAATAAATAGCAAAGTCCTAATGAAAAGCACAGCCTGTTCTTCTCTTGTTGCTATATTCACCTCTTTAAGGGACAGGCTTATGGATTTTTTAGTCKCTAAATTAAATGTTCTACAAAATAATATTTTTCTTTTTGTCCAAAGTAGAATTTGCATTGTGATTTGTCTTATTTGTTATATTTTCATTTGCAGGTCCCTAAATACAAAAGGGTGAATTCCAGTTTGTGATCTAGCCCATGAATCTTGAGAGCTTTTAGGTCACAAATGCAAATAAAAATTCACTGCCCATTCTTTRCTGGTAGTGCTCACAAGGGATGGGGAGGGAGGTGGGCGTTGAACCAAGTTATTCCATGGTTTAAGATCTCTCTTGAATATTTCAAGTAGTGTTCCTTGAAGACAGTTCAACRTTTTTAAAAAATAGTGCCAGTTCATTGTACTTCTGATAAGGTGTTTACTGTTTCAGGAACTTTACAATAAACAAAATTTTGTTTTCTGAACAGCTGATMGTCTTTTGTCCTTTATGCTTTGGGAAACATCTATTTGAAGGATTATTGGTATTTTAGTTTTCTGAATCTCACATTTGTTCAATTTGTGCAGCAAATATAAAATACACCAATAATCTTTTCCACACTAAAGCATTATGTTTTCACTGTATAGTTCTTCACAATACAGATGTTGAATTAAGCTGTCATTGGGATTAATAGATAGTCAAGAAAAAAATAAGTACAGATGGGTGTGATAAAAATCTCTTCCCAATTAAGAAAAGGTTAGGATTCATCAAAGTAAAGGAGAGCATTAGGACCAGAATAGTTACTGCAAAATTAGGAGAGGAAAGGAAAYTACTTGAAGGGATTATTTTTTTTCCTGTAAACACAGAGAACTTAATTATATTGAGTCTTTGCTTGCTTGTGCAAGGAGAATGACAGCTAAGCTGGTGATGCATTGAAATCAGTGTACCCCACTCTTCAATTAATTTGTAATGCCTGCATACAGACTGAATTACACAGGTGCCTTTTAAYTAATCCTCACAGGAAAATCTAAGCTCCTGGGCAGTCATTTACCATCTGCCACCTTCCTGTAGCACCTTGTGAGATCCAGCTGTTTTGAATGCTGGGTGAAAGGTCTTGTAGGTCTCACCAAGCAAAGAGAGGCAAAGATTGTYTCTCAGAAGTTACTGGATGAAGGTCCTTTGCTCCTAAGTCTTCTAGGAAAGCAAATTAATTGGAACTGCCTTAGACTGATCAAGAAATTACATTATTCCAGTATTTATATATACTTAGTGCTACTTCAAATGAACCAAAGGCATTTGGCTAGGTGTCATATGTCTTCCAAAGTAACACCAAGAATGTGCAGTCTCTGTTGCTCCTAGTGTTTCAGAAGTGCATGGCCCTGCTGCAGGGAACTTTGTAGTGAATTTTGMAGAAACCACCAGAAAATGTTTTTGGCAAGCAAGAAGATGCAGGCACATGGCAGGAAAGAACTGGATGTATCCTCATTTTTAAATGAGATATGAATCCAAATGATTGGTGTTCCCTATGAAGTGCAAGACACCTGCCCAAAATAKTAAGTGAACTGAGCGGCCCATAAGTTGGACAAAACCCTATCACTCCTTGGAGAAAAGTACTCAAAAGGGAACATGTCTGCCCACTTAGCCTTTCTGAAGGCAGTGCTTTCAAAACATCTGGTTTCACACAGCCCCTGTGAGCTCATCAGCTCCAACTCAAATATGTGCCACTGTTGTAACAATGCTGAGCAATATTTGCTGCTCCCGAGCTGCAAATTGAAGTCCTTGCCCAGAACCGTCTGCCACCTTGGTAGTTTGCTTGAGGGTGATGACTGCCTGACAGAAACGATTAAAATCAAACTAGAGAATAAGAAACAAACATGCAATCCAGCAAAGGTCATGACGATGGTGTTTGTTTTAGCCACCCCAACAACTGGAAAAGGAACTGCACAAATTTTCAAGCCAATTAAAAAATTATTTAACGTACTGAACATGATTAAGATGGGTAAAGGATTGCAGCACCTTTTAATGAAGCAGAGAGACCTGGAATTGCAGAAGTCTCATGGAGGGATCTTATCAGTGTGGGGGCAGAGTAAAGAGAATGGAGACAAGTTCTTCTTGGTAGTGTCTAGTGTCAGGACAAGAGGCAGTGGGCACACCCTCAAACACACATTTTGTTTAAACATAAGAAAAAGTTTTTTTTATTGTGAGAAGTGTTGAACATCGGTACACCTTGTCCAGAGCTTGTAAGATCTTCATCTTAGGTGATCTTTATACCATGCTTTCAGGCAATCTGTTCAAGCTGACAGGTGGGAGTAAAGCAGTTGGACTAGATCATCTCCCAAGGCTCCTCCCAACCTCAACTGTTTTGTGGAACCCAGGCTCTTTTACCAAAAGATGGATATTTTGTCAAAAAAAAAAAAAAAAAAAAAAAAAGTGTTTCAGTAAAATATGAAGTTAAAGAGAATTTAATCTTGCTCCCATGTTCCTTAAATGAAAAGACAGCAAGAAGGGTGCCCAGGTGCCCTTTTGAAGTTATTTGGGCTTTCAGCAGCTGCTGGTGGTTCTGAGACCTTTGCTCTCCCTGTTTTCCCGGCATGTTCCAGCTCCCTTGGCTGCTCCTGCTGCACCTGTGTCCTCTGTGAAAGCAGCCGCTGTGGGCTGTGATGTATTTAATGGGAGCCACATGGCCAAAGCAGCTTGGCTCTGAACACACCAGCTGGCTGCTTTTTTTCTCCTTTTGAATATGTTCATCCTAAAAGAGCTCAAACACAGAGAGGAAGTGACTTCTGAGGTCCTTCAAGGTCATGAGGTAAGAAATTCTGTGTTTGCTGTTGTAAAACAAAGGCAAGGAATTCATTGTGATTCTACTCTTTTTCTCCTCCGCTGATTTACTGGCTTCCAGCTTCACCCATTTCTTTMTTCCTTCTTTGGGTTTTAACATTTGATTAAGAGAACCATTGCTATGATACGATGATATTGCCCATTCTCACAGCTCTCCTGACCCTATGGGTTGGGATGCCTGGRAGCCATGAAAGTTAAAGGGGTGCTCCAGGGAGAAAGTGAGAGATGGAGCCTCTTTGTAAGCTCCATTTCCCCTAAGCAAGGTAATAAAATCTCCAGTGTTATTGGTAAGGTTTCTGTGTGGAAAACTCCTCCAGGCYTGGAAAAGCCAGGGTTAGAGCCAGACCAGGCAGTGGTGTTGTGGTGCAGCAGGTTGTGAAGCCAGCATGGGGACATTGTGTGTGCCAGCTCAAGGGACAGGGAGGTGGTGAGCAAGCACTGTGCTGTAGGCTGAGGTGGCTGTGCCCAGGTTTCTCAGAACTGGTGCACCTTGCAGCCACTACAGGTCCCAGGCTTACTGAGCACACAGAGATGACTAAAAGCAGATGAATAGCARTGTGTGCCAGATGCTCCCAATGCAGACTCAGGGAGGGACTGAACGGCTGGGGTTCCTCTCCACAGCCACAGTATCTTTGTGGATTAGCAACAAATCAAAGCTGCAGCCAGGGAAGTGGTAATTGATGAATGGGAAGTGGTTGATTTGGCTTTTTCTTGTCAACTGTTTGATTTCCCACCRAAATTCTTCAGTGACCAAAAGATAGAGTTGCTCAAGCTCTGAAGCACCAGGTGGCTAGCAGATCTCCATATGCCTGAGGTGTTGTTCCTGCTAGTGGTARTGCAAGGTTAATGTTTTCATATCATGTGGTTTGTATTTTGTTTTGTGAAGCCACTAAGCAGCAATTTCAGTCCTAAAGCTGGGTAGTGCTGTCTTTTTTTATCAATTCTAATCCTCTCCCTGATGTGCTGGGCTTTCATGTGGGTTGGATCAGGTCTCACAAGTGCTGTTCATCCTGACAGCTCCTTGAGAAGTTCAAACTAAGGCATACATGTATAGTTTCATTAAAAAATTGTTTGTCCAAGATGACTTTGCTGTAGTTCTTTTGGCATCTTCTTTCTACTTAGGCATTTTCTTTTCAGGTTTGTTCAAAAGCCACCTTGACCAGTTTGCTGGGTCGTTGTTGAACAAGAAAATGCTCACTCTTCTTTAAAATTCTTTGCTCTAGCTTTCCCTCCTCTATGGCCCTTGAGAAGCAGTGCCTGGGTCCTTGGATTTCTTGGACTGAAATTTGGATGAAGAGATGGAAGGGTGAGGGACAGGGAATGGAGTGGTGTAAGCTCTGGGCTTTCTCTGGCTGCAGCCTGATCTCTATCACAGTGAATTCAAAACACTCTTTTGTCTGGATATTCTGAAAGGCTCCCGTGTTACTTCCTGCTACAGGCAGGACAGTTTTGTGTATTTTTCCAGTGTCTCAGACTGTGCCTTAGGCTTTGCAATTGTTCCCATGGGCACCTTGGGGTGGGAGTGGAAATTGTGTGGGTTTTGTTTTTTGTTTGTTTGCTTTTTTTTTTGTTAGTTTGGGGTGTTTTGCTTATTCCTCAACTTGCTTTTAGTTATGGGTAATCACCTGATGGCACAATCAAAATCTCTTGTGGTAGCCAGAGCAACCATGGCAGTGCTTCACCTCTTCTGCAGCCTCCGGAGTGTTTTTCTCTCCAAATGTCCACTCCAGAACTTRTCAGGCAATGCTGGTGTGAAGCAGAGGCTTCTTCTGAGTAGCCTTCAGCGTGAGCAGCAAGTCTCTTCTTCAGTGCTGGAATTCCTAAGTTACAGTGAGGGACCTCAGCTGTCTCATGAGCTTTGTAATGATAACTGTGAGGATGCAATATCTACTTAAAAGTCATGTCGAGGGTGCTTCTGCTGCTTCATCCCTCCTGATTTAGGCAGGACCTTGTTGAGAAATAGGGGGGAAACTGAGGCAGTAARGGAATAACTTTGAGAGGTTGACTTCTCCTGACTTTGGTCTGCAAATGTAAAACAAAGCTCAGTTTCACGGCAGTTTGTTTATTTATTTCAAATTTATAATACCAGCACATACAGGGCCTAACACATTACTTCTGTGGAACAGCAACTCTTTTGCAAKGTATTTATTTTATGCTTCTGTTAAACACATGAATAAACCAGCAAAAGACAGAAATTACAATTACAACAATTATGAGGTCAATCTTAGAGAGAAAATTGTCTTAAGAGCACCTGCTTAAGTGAAACTGTCACTTGTGACAACTGTGTACATTCACAGACTCAGCAGGATGCAATCGATTAATGGCTCCTTTGGCTCAATGGGAGGTGGAAATGCAGCTGTCTCTGATTTTTAGCCTCCTTAAACACCAATGCTTTCCACTGGAGAGTGGTAAACAGGAATATTCTGACCATCCCGCAGTTTCAAGGTGACATCCTGAAGGCACCAGCTGACACAAACCGAAAGAGATTTTTCACTTGTAGCAATCATTTAAACATGGTAGCATAGAAGTAGCTGGCACAGAGAAACAAATYATTCCACACATTCATTGCTTTTAAAAATTCTCTCAAGTGTTTTAAAACTTAGTTTTGTGAGTGTCAGCTTCTGAAAGCTGTTCTCCCTAACAGGGTAGCACAGCCCAGATTTAAAGGTCTGGTGTGCATGTTCCTATTTGTTGCAATTTAAATAAAATCCTGCCAGCTCTTCTTAGGACATTCCTTTCCCAACCCGGTGCCTTTTTTTCCCTCTCCATCCTGCGGGTGCATTCCTTGTTCCACTCCTCTCCAGCCTTGGAGCCAGACGGTGTTGCTAAGGAATTATTCTGGCTTGGAAGAGTTTGAACACTGTGTGATCACTCAATGTGACTGCTGAAACCCTGACAGGGTACAACAGTGGTTACTCAAAGAAAGAAAATTGCATTTGTTGGAGACTGAGGGGGAGTGTTTTCCTTCCTCTAAGCTCTGCTCCAAACCCACTTCTGAGAAACTGCTCATGCTGCTTTTCCAGCTGGAAAGGGCTATTATTTTGGGGTACTAAAATAGGATTTTTTTTTCAAAAGCTACTGGCACTGGCCCAGCTCTGCTTTTGCTGGAGTCAGTGCTGGGTACATACAATTAGGTAATTAGGCTGCTGCACCTCTGTGCAATGGGTCTGCAGTAAGGCTCTAAGCAGCAGCCCTCTGCTCCCACCCCAGGCCAAGCAATGGGGCTTGCAGGTGGAACTGYTTGTTTCCCCACTGTGGCATGGGGGATCAACCCTTCTCCTGGGCACTTTAGGGCAGGAAAGAGTAATTTTGCAGTGCTTGATTGCCCTTGCCTCTGGGCACCCTCCTCATCCCTGTACTGCCTGCCTCTGAGTGAATGCCTCTTCCTCCTGGACCAAAAGAGCTCACAGACTCCAATTATTTTTTTGTACTGCCGTCTCTCTTCTAAATAAATAAACCACTACAGACAGACCGCACACTCAGAGTCAGAAGCATTTCAGTGGCTTCAGTGCCTCAACAGCCCTTGCACAGAGCATACAACTCCTGCGTCATTTAGCTCTGTCTGTATCGGTGAGTGCCGCCCTGGTCTGCCCTGGAAAAGCACACGTGGACTATGCACAATCCCCCCAGGATGACTGGCTTACATGCTTGTACTCCCAACCATTTTACTGTTAGYTCCTCAGTGGCGTGCAAGGACACCAAGAGCTGCCTCAGCCCCACATGAAACTGTGTACAGAACCCTGCATGTAGGTGGAGTCTGACAGACTCATCTGTCACAAATCCTTTTACAAGAAGATGTCTTCTTTTCTTTCCCCCTTAAGTTTGCGGAAATGTACAAAGAGCTCACTTTAAAACAAAACTCCAAGAGATGTGTATGCACTGCTGTAGTTTAACATTTTGCAGTCTTCAGTTATCTTCACAGTAACTGTGAACCGGGAATAACTGGGAACTCTGTGTGAGGAGGGGCTAAGGAGGAGTGGGGAGATCACAGTTCAGGCACTAGGGAAGCGAGGTGTGCAAGAAATGTGGTTGGGGACCTCTGGGGTTATCCCTGGTCATCAGGGAAGAGGCCAATTCTGGTACTGAGCTCCTCAAGTTGCAGCCTAGTGCCTTTCTCACATCCTTTTACACCTTCCTTCCCATGCTTAGAAGAGAAGTCCAGTAAGTCATGCTCATCTAATTATGAATAGAAAACATTAYCATATGACTGGTGGCAGTTGAGTAAAAGCTTTGTAGTTTCGGTTTCTAAGTAGAGCTAACAGAAGTACCTAATGAAAGGTTTGCATCTAGTAAAACTTTTGAATTCATGTAGCAATTCTTTACTCGGTTCCAGAAACCAGTTTACTGTTGATAAACGATGTTTTCAGGCTTCAGTATGACAGAAATGTGAAGTCATTTCTGTATGGTGCAGAATCAGAGCATCCTTCTATTATAATGTATCTGTTCCAGCACTTTTTTTTTTTAACTGTAAGGACCATACTTCTTGGACAGCTTAAAAAAAAAATCATGTGTTTTTAGCTCACCTCACAAAGCTCCAATATAATGAGTGATTCCCTCACTGCAATCCATAATACCAGATTAGAGTTAGGACTGCTGTTCAACAGCCTGTGCACTTCTCTGGGAAGGTGGCTTGGGAGGGGACAATACCTTGGCTCACAGTATTTGTATATGTACTGYGCTACAGCTTGCAGAACACAACCCAAAGGAATGGCTCCTGCTGCTCTTCTATTCACAGAGAGATTAATTCAATSTATTTGTCAACTAACTTACATTACTTTCATTAGGACTTACATGTCCTAATGAAAACAATAATCTTTCACAAGACCTTCACACAGGAGTTTCTCCTTGCTGTGTGTGCATGACCTCAGCAACAYGAATGACTAAAGTAAATATCCTGCTCCACTCTTTTCTCCCACCACTTGTTTGCCATTTCTCCTGGCACCTGCCCCAGTACGCACCACTGACGGGAGTGGTCCATCTCTGCGTTAATGTAGAGATATCCAGCTGATTTTGTTCCAGAAACTGGTAACTTTATCTGCAAATGTAAAAGCACATTAAAGAATCTGCAAAGCACATTATGGAACGAACATTTACTCCTTCTAGTCAAAGACTTTTTGACTCATACTATTTACCTTTTTAACTTATATTATAGCTTTTTTTTTAAACTGTACTTCAGAGTTTGACTAAGCTATTCTAACAACTAACACGTGACTACACAAGTATGTCTGCTCTGCCATGCATTAATTTCTCTCTGCCAAAAGAATGTACGGTGTTACAGCTGCAACCCCCAGGGAAAACCACTTGCTCTCCAAAGTATTTATGAGCTGACACCTTTCTGCACCAGAATGTATGGTCATCCAGAGGTGACCTGCACTGTTAGAGCTTCCCATAACCATAACAAGCCTGTAGGCTGAAATACTCTGCATATCAGTCCTTTAATACACAATAAGACAATGAGATGTTCAATGATTTTTTTTTTTCAGTATCATAAATTCTGTCACTCATCTTTGTTTAACAAACAAAGCTGGAGGTGCAGCAGTGACCATGACCAACTATACTGGGTCTAATGTCTGAATAAAAGAAATATTTCAGGTAYAGCATTTACTGGTGGTGGTGCAACAACACAGAGAAAATGACAGGTGTTCTGCAACAGACCCACGAGCTGGGAATGTTGTGGAGTCAGTAAATCAACCTGTGGTACAATGMTGATTAACCAGTTTATTTGATGAGAACATAAATACTTAGGAGCATGAAAAAGTGGAGAAGACAGTTGGTGATTTGTGTCTTGGATGAGGTCAGTGGAAGGCAGGGTTTGACTTCACCCTGAGTCACCCAAGTGACTAGCATTCTTAAACAGTGACATAKGAAAACATCCATGGGAAAGGTTATCTTCTTTTCAGTCAGAATATGAGACTGTGTGGGGTTTTGCATGATTATTTTCCTTAGCTATGTTTCCTGATGAAAKCTAAAAAATACAGGAAACTTTTTGGTCCAGGGTATTACATAAATGCAGCCTGGCTGAAGTTAAATGGAAAGTGATTTTATATGGTTAAAAGTTTGGGGTTTTTTTTTAATCTTACCCTGATAGCCACTGTCATTGTACCATCTGACCCATTCCTTTAATACCCTTGCTTGCTCCCTGGCATTCTTAAGTGCTCACCGGTAAGAACAAAATTATTCCAATGTGATGAGTTACCCTAGTGAAGGATTTGGAGAGGTTGCTAGGGACACTTTGTGTCACCAGCAAAACAAGGGAAGGGCAGCCAGTCATGGATTAAGGGGTAAAAACACTGATGGAAAGTACTCTTGAGGCATCAATGCTGAGTTGAAGTGGACTTATGCTTGCAAGGTTTGCCTGGGCCCAGCCCTTGGCTGATACAGGGCAGCCTTGTGCAATACTTCAGCACTGAGCAAAGCATTCTCCAGTCACTAACACTCACACTGGGGCTGGGCAGCTGYTCTCCATGACACAAACTTACAGGTGCTCTTAAAAACTACACCATTTATGGTGTACCAGAGCACAGCCTGGAAGAGGCTGTAAAACTGTTCTGAGCAAAGCTTAAAAACTAGCATGGGACATATCTGGGGAAGAAAGTGAAGCAGGTGCTATTTTAAAGCTGAATCTGATATGTCTCTGAAAATTATTTTGTGGCTTACAGTGTGAGGAGAGGGATTGATTGGCTTGAGAGGTCCCCTGGCATTCTCTGACGGGCCTGGATAGCACAACATAAAGATGCTGCTCTTGCTGCTTCTAGGCTAAGAGATTTATGCTCTGGAAATCCATTCTTCTTCCAGATCAACTGGCATGCCATCCTACTGCCTTCCAGTGCCCCCAGGTGACTCATGACCTGCTGAAAATCCCCTGGCTGATCTCTCATCAYGTGACATCTCAGGAAGCCACTCTGTGACACTGCCTGCCCAGCAATACCCGTGCTCTTTCTGTGTCCACGCGATTGCTCCCATCTGTTAGTCGGATGTTGTGAACCTTAAGAGGGGGGGCACCCAGGGCTTCCAGGACATCAGGATTGCTGTTCAGATGCTCCAAAGCCTGCTGGTAATACTGGGTCCTGGCAAAACTTTCTAGGTGAGAGAAACAGGATAGTGAGGACACCGTTCACTTGAAATCAAAACATAAGCTAAAAAAAAAAAAAGACCTTTTGTCCAGACTACCACACCCTCCCTGAAATACAAACCAACACTATTAGTTAGGAGAAATTTGGCTAAAGGAGGAAACACACCCTTACATCAGAGAAGCAAATGCTATTCAGCTCATTTAAGCGAAGAGGGCTCTGAACATAGCCTGCTCCATTCTGATATATAGTTCAGCTTATGGCTGTGTCTCCCCACTTTTCATGCATTTGTAGGTTATCTAAAAGAAAGAAAAAATAGAAAAAAAAAGAAGGCACAAGGATGAATATCTGAAATGTTTGGATAATTTTTCTTTTGTTGAAGGTACATAAAATACTTTAAGAATGGAGAATATCTTGCAGACATTGAGACAGRAACAGCTGTTGCTGTGAAGCTTTTGCTGTGGCCTTGTTACATATTTCCAAGTGGCAGCAGTGAAGCTGCAATTTTACTGACAGATGCATTAGAAGGGAGGCATGAAAAAGCACCACTCAAGTTACTGGTCAAGCAGCCACAATAGCACAGTAGATRGATGCTGCAGTGTTGGCACATGGAGGACAATTGTGGCAAACTGCTTTTCATTAATGTTTGGTTGCTCTCTGTGGCTAAGAAATGCTGTACCATGATTGCCAACGGACAGAGCAGAGCTCAGGGGCTGGAAACTTGCTGACCCTCCTTATGGAGACAGATTTGCTTTTTAACAGTTTTAAGTCTGTCTTGCTGGGGTTTCTAGATTAGCATAACTTTACTCTTCTGGGCAGAGTTAAGCTAAGGGTGTGCAGTTGTGTAAATCCTACTCTGGCAACTCTGCCTGCACCTTTGAAAGGATTTAAAACTAGGTGTAAGGTTTGTTTTTTGGTCTTTTGCCTGTCAGTATTAATCTTGGAGCATAAGGCAGAAGGATGCTGCCCTCTCTCCCTAATTAGAGGTATCCCCTGTGAGCAGGCAGCATCCAATTGGCATAGAAACAGCTTTGCAAGGCTGTAGCCTGTTTTGGTCCTCCTCTGTCCCCCTGGCACATCCTAAGGAGCTCCAGCCAAAGGGGTGGCAGCACGCCAGCCCTTTAGTACCAGCCCTTTAGTACCTATTAATCATGGCAAACAGCCACCCAGACCGTGTTCAAAATATCTTGTGTTCATCCTTCAGGTTGGAGAAGAAACAGATTCCAGTTTCCTGATGTTCCTTCTCAGCTGTTCCTTGTTAGTATTTCACTCATTAGACATTAAATGCCCAACTAATCCATTTGTCCATGCATCTTTTGGTAGAAGACCTGAAAGCCTGCTGGAGTTGGTTGAGCAGACTGCTTCACTGAGAAGGGTGTGGAGTGATGTTATTAAGTAGAAATAGGATTACCTGARTATTTGTACAAGCTTGCACAGAGACCACATGCATACAAACTTCCCTTCAGTCTGAAGGAAAAGAAGGCAAGCAATCATCTCCTTATGCTCCCACCACTATAGAGGCCACTTGCTCCTCATGAATCCAAGTATTGGCCCRTTCTGTGCACTAAGCAGAAGGACCTGAAACAGCCCCAGGCATGGGCCAAGGGAGGAAGGTTCTTAGTGGGGCTCTTGTGTCTGTTTAGAGGATAGAGGACACAGTTGGCTGCAGAAGGTGCTCTTTCAGCAGCCTGGCTGGCTTGCCACCAAGTTATCAGGCAGCTTCTCAGTGGCCACTGAAATTGCAAGAAAGTCAGAAGTAGCCATTGCAATGTGCCACTTGACTGCACAGCCAAGGGCTGCAGGGAACCAACCCTCAGACTTGCCGTGTAGCATAGSGGGTGACTACCCCATGAGATTTCTAGAGAACTGTGCTGAAGCTGAAAACCAAAAAAATGCTTCTGCCCTTGTTAAAGTCAGATTCAATATTTTAAAGGGTAAGGATCATGTTTCTGTCATGTACTCGAGAGCTTAGGGCATAAGTTGCCTAAAATTAAAGCCTGCTTTCCAGCCTTGCMTGATTTGTTATTAATATGTGTAAAATGAAGGGGAGGTTTCAGAGCTTATCTGARGGCTTGAGGAACAGGCTTGGCTACACTTTTTTCTGGCAGCATCCTCTGGTATCAGGTGAAAAGCAATAGCATTTGATAGCACCAACAATGGGGAGGCATAGGGCCAAGAGGMCCCCCTGAGAGAGATGCAAAGCCTATTTAGCTCTGATGCTAAATATCTAAAAGTAGTTTTAGAAAAAACAAACATCTGTAATTTGGATTAAAAATGTACWTTCTTGACCAAAGACATATAGCAACTAGAGATGTCTGCAAACAACATCACCTGTCCAGCTTTTCTCTTTGTTCTGGTCTTCTCAGTGCTGRCTGTTCTTATCTGTACTTCATTCAYGAGAAATTMATKATTTCTTAGCACCTCACAGGTGTGTTGTGTTTAAGGGCCAGCATTACAYAGAGATTTACAGATGAAACTGCTAGATTTCAACACCTTCTCACAGATGGTCCTCTTTTRCTGCCCAGTTACAAAATCTTGGTTAGGAAATGAAACCTGCATTACTGCCTAAGCTTTCACTTCACCATCACCCTCAGGCAACCCCCCAAACCCAGATTTTTCTTCTGACCACACCAGCCTGCTTGCCACACTGTATCTGCCCCTGGAAATGCATGCAGCAGAAGTTGGGAGAGCAAAGGCCCTGGGGACGAAAAAGTGGAGCCCACAGAGGCAGAACTCAGAGGCTCAGCCACACTTACTTTAATTTCATCTGCTTTTCACAACTCGCATGCTGCTCTTTTCCCCACTACACAAAAGCCAGTGAAAGGGGCAGAGGAGAAATAAGGTTGCTAACAACACCACAACTTACTTTGCATAAGATTATACATCACGATGAATCCCCCACCACTGAACAGTCCCATGAAAACAGCCATTTGCTGCAGTTTTCTTAGAGAAGCTGGCATTTTTCCTCCCTGAAAAGAAAAAGAGAAGAGATTTGTTGTAAAAGAAGAAAGCCAAAGCGTTACTTCCCCCCTCCTCCTCCTCTTTCCTAAAAGCCCTTTCCAACCAGGCCTGAATGAAAGCGCAGTGCACAGGCACCGAGCTCTTGCTTACTGGGGCCCCACCGTGTGCCCAGAAGGAAGAGTGGTGAGAACAGAGCAAACTGGGAACCCAGCTGGGTTGAATGTGTTTATTCAACTTCTTTTAGTGATGCCACCACTTCGCTAATTGCCGAGAAGAAAATGACCKCCCTGGTGCGGCCAGGGGCCAGTGCCACAGCATTGTGGCGGGGCTCCCGGTGCCCGTGTGTTTGCTCGCACACTGCAAGCATTCAGGCTCCGGGGGCTGGATTTCTCTCTCGAGTAAACTCCTGTAAAGTAAACACGCTCATGCAGGGATGGATCTGGCCTAGAGTGGTAAGGGACGGAGCCAAGCCAGCACAGTGCCAGCAAAGATAATGGAGCCAGGGTGTGYGTATTCTGTTGTGTCAATTTTTTTCCCAAGCTGTGAATAAACAGGAAGTCTCTTGCAAGGTCTTTTTCTTCCTTCTTGTACTCCCCCCAGTCCAAGCTTGCCCTTTTAATGAGTMACAATTTTGACATTTGAATGTGTGACCCAGCAGAATAAGGAACACTTCCATACTTTGAGTAAGAGGAGGACTGAAGAGCCTGAGCTAATGCTCCTGCRCACAGCAGGTTAGTAGGAGTCAAGCTGAGTTGTCAGTGGGGGCGTAGTACTTTGCTTCAGGCTGTGGCAGGATGGGACTTGAACAAGCATCTGAGTATTAGCTTATGCTCCTGAAWCTCTTGGAGACGGGATGGGAGGGAGGAATGGTCTTGACAGCAACTTAAAAAAAAAATATTGAAAAACTGTTCTTTTTCAATGGGCAGATACACATGAATAATTGGGGGAGCTGTATGGGGAGCTATATTTCTAATCCCAAAGGCTTCACACCCCAATACTTGCCACACAATGGTGCGGCTTAAGAGCTACACTCAATGAGAGCTGATTAATAAACCAAGGCCCAAACCAGTTACAGAAATGTGACCTGGGCAAGGCCGTTTGAGCCATGCTGTGGAAACCACCCCAGCATCCCTCAGGTGTTAGTCAGGTATTGTTCAGCTGACAACRACAGTTTAGCGAGGGTAGAGAGACAAGTGTCAGGATTTCTTCCTGTCGTGGCCAGGTCTGGGTGACACAGGCAGCCTCCCWCTGCTCACCACTCCACCGACATACYCTTATACTGACACCAGCTCTAAACTGAGGGAAACCCAGACACCCCAGGGATGTGAYCACAGCACCAAGCCTGTCTGAGTTCAAGAGGGGTTTGGACAATGCTCTTGGGMACCTGGTGTRAATCTTRCCGTGTTCTGTGCAAGGACAGGAATTGGACTCTATTCTATGATTCTTGTGAGTCCCTTTCCATTCAGAATATTCTGTGATTCTACAAAACTGTGAATGCAACTCAGGTGTAAAATTCATCTCCTGCCTTGTCGGTACTAGCACTCAGTTGTAATGCATGCTGTTAGGTTGAATGCTTTCCTTGTTAACTAGTTTCCTTGATTTTTAAGAACCCTTAGATTTTAAGTTTACTATTTAAATTACTTCAGCTTTGTGGATGGCTAGTAACGATAGAAACCCAGAGAGGCATGTGGATGTTATGTCTGTTTTATGCCCCAAAATGCCTAAACTGTGCCGTTGTGCCATATAGTCAGCTATCATCTATCTCACTCCTGATCTGTTTTTCTGGTGAGTTTTTTTTTCTTCACTTCCCCTGGGGAACTTAAATGGCTTGAGAAGTTACAGCAGAGGAAATGTGCAACTGTGGTTTTACAGAGAAACAGTGGTAATCATTTCACAAGGGCAGTGAGAACTATCTGCTCGCCTGCTCGTGTTTGCAATTTTCCTTAAATCCCCACAAAATCTGATTAATAACCAAGTTTCTTATAAGATTCATCTGGCCAGGAAGAGGATCTGACACCACCACATAACAGGAACAGGGAAAAAAACCCCATGGTAAATCTGMAGGGAGGATCAGATATAACAGTTTGTGACCTGCAGCCTTTGTTTTGCCCCTTTCAAAGTTGTGGCAAGGCAAATTTGTTTTCTGTGATTAAATTCAGGGTAATTKAATGCAAATGTCTGGAGGTGGGGGGGTGCTGCTGGCAGTTTGCTGAGTAAGGCTGGGAAGATAGGGAGCACTTGTGCCAGTGAGAAGGTTTTGACTGAGGTTCAGGGGACCTGCCTAGTAAACAGTGGAAATTAGAGGCTCTGCAACTTGCTGTCAGTAGGTTTGAGGTTTGTTACGTCTCACRGTCTGCTCACACCCAAATATGGGAGATGGATGGAAAGTAAGAAAAGCTTAGTGCTGATCTGTCACATGCTCACACACACTCTCATCACCACCTCCACTCTAATGTTGCAGTGCAGAGACAGTGCCATCTGGCAAGGGAGCTTGGCAGCTGGGAAATGTTGATCCCATTAAACACTGCTGCCCCATGCAGCATGCCTGGCTGCCCCYGTCCACAGCTGTCTTCTGTTGCTGCTCCTGCTGAGGCAGAGATGTGGAGAGCTCAGGTACACCCAAGTTGTGCACCAAGGTCCTCATTACCGTAACAGGTAGAACATCTCCATTGCTCGTTTTCAGTCACATTCGGAAGCCCATGGGCTGGACCACTCCATCCCTGTCTAGCCTTGATGCTCTGCTCCCACTTGTTTCTCAGCTGTTTTCCCAAGCCAGTCCTACAACAGCACACTGTGGGAAAAGGTTCAGAACTATGCATTTTAACAAGTCTTTCAAGAATGCAAAACTTCTCATCAATGCCACAATTCCTTGCCAGCCTCCACCCACAGYATCCCTCACAGAGGTCTGCTGCTTCCCTTTCCTGCCATCCTGGTCCCTTGCRGCATGGATGTCTGAATATTGCAGCCTTGAGCATCTTTTGGCACGCAGCTGCTGATAACTTCTGAATGATGACAGCTTGTGGAARATCAAAATGTAGCAAGGATCTTTTGTCTGCAAGGACGTGTCAGTAGGATTTCTGTGCTATGGCCAACTGTGTTTGCTGCTCCATTGGCTGCTCTGCTGAAGTGCCATGGGAGTGGCTCACTAAGGAAGGGAGGTAGAGGCATGCCCAGAGGTGTGCCTCCTGTCCTGAGCCTCTCTGAATGTGACTTACAGCTTGCAAACTGTAGAGACTGTTACAGGGAATGGCCAAACCCCCTTAGCTTCATTTGCCACAAAGGGAGGAACTGTAAATATTTGAGAGAATGTTATAGCTACAACATGCAATTGCCTCCTAAGGAGGAAGTTCATTCTGCTATCTGTGGTGATCTCCCCRGAGAACCTGTTATACCACTAAAAAGGTATGCAAGTCAACTGGTGGAAAAACAGACTTTTTCACAGCCAGTAATTAAAAAAGCAGTTTCCATCTATGCCRTTCTGCAAAGACACCTTTTCCTCTGTGTTATTTGGAGCGGTAACAAAGATTAARTGGAGATTAGCATGTACAAAATCACTGAACTTAGTTACCAGAAGAAGAGACCTTTTATTGTTTTAAGCAGTGTTCTCAAAAAATAACCATTAAAGAACAGAGCACCCTAATAACAGTGACATTCACTTTGTGCCTTGAAAACAGCAGGATATGGAGGAGAAGGCTTGACTTTGAATCTAAGTGGGACTCAGGCTGTTAACAAGATTTAGCAAACTYCCAGCATCACATGTGAAATGGTGGTTTACTGCAACAATAAAGGCTGTTTTTAATTAGACTTTGTTTTCTCCACAGAGGATCTTCTAAAAATAGGCTGGCTTAAGAGTCTCCCTTATTTTGGCACATTGGGTTTTCTGTTTGGTCTCTGAAATTTGTGTGGCAGAGGYTGGTCTCAGGCAACTCCATCAAAGGCAGGTAATGGAGAAGAATGGCATCCAAGTTCAAACATTTATTTTATTTTCCCTGAAATTGAGCAAGGGAGCTGGGGCTGCAAGTTCCATGGGGAAGGCATGTTCTCTTCCTTCTCCTTGTCCTTCAGCTCCTCCTGGTGCTACCAAACTTCACCAGCATCTCCAGCCTATGGGTGCTACCACAGACCATACAGCAAACAATAATATTGCTCTGAAACAAGAGAGAAGTAACTTGATCCACGCAAACTCAGTGAGGTCACTGCTGCCTATATTGATCTAGGTTATTGCCTACCCATACGGCCAGGACAATATAGTGCCAGACCATCAGTGCAACCATCTGGGAGCCTTTAARTAACCTTAAACCACTGTAGTCCTGAGGTGTTGGAATGACACATTAAATAGGGGCAGCAAAAAACTATTAATAAATTAAAATTTGTCAGTAGACCTGAACACAGACCTGAGCATCTGACTTCAAGGCCGAAATTGTTGTTGACCCTTCTGCAATGAAACTCTCCCTTGGGCTGGTGGGTTTTTAACTGGCCTGAGGCACAGYTTCTCAGCAAACCACCCAGGAAGTCACAAGAGATCAGAGGAATGTCAGGCAAACCACACATGAGCACACACTTGTATTTCACATTCTTGTTTTCTTGCCCATCCATTGATCTTCTAGAACCATAAGGCAGGCATCTGGATGCAAGCCAAATTCTATACTAATAACATGGTAGACAACGTTTTAGAGACATCTTTTTGACACTGTCTACAATATACCTTCATCATCAGTTCTGTCACCAAAAACAGAACAGTAGAGCAGAAGTGTTCTGRCAGGATTTCAGCATGTTATTTTCCCTTTTTTTTTTCATGGAAATAGCCTCAAAATATTATTTACCTCATTTAAGAGATGTAACAGCACAACTTTTGCCCCCTGCCAGCATGTTAATATAAAAAATTTTGCATGTATAGAGTGTCTTCACCAAGACCTCAGAAACCTGTAGGAAAGAAGTTCGCTTAATTCACAGTCAAACCAAAGTAGGATTAATATTGTTTTTCTTTTCCCTCAGTGGTTCTTCAGAT